TGTTGTATGTCTATATTTTAGAAAATAAACATGTGCAGCTGTAATAAAATGAAATATTACAAATATGTGTTTGTAATCATAATGATATATAACTGCTAGCATATCTTAGCAAATATAGGCATGTCTCCCTTGCAGAATTATTGGCTCCAACTTTGGAGCCATTGGCTCCAACTTTTTCTGATTGGCGAATTTGGTGGCGCAAACTAATTTTGACCCAGAGGGAACCCTGAGTTAACACTCCAGCGGTCACATTTTTGCCCCAATCATCATCAAACTTGGTCAGGATGCTTATCTATTTGATAGCTCGGATGAGTTCGAACATTTGTCATCTCGGATGAAAAACTAGGTCACAACAGCTAAAAATAGAAAAACCTTGTTAACACTCTAGCGGTCCCAATTTTGCCTCAATCATCATCAAACTTGGTCAGGATGTTTGTCTAGTTGATAGCTTGGATGAGTTCGAACATTGGTCATCTCGGATGAAAAACTAGGTCACAGGAGCTAAAAATAGAAAAATCTTGTTAACACTCTAGTGGCTACTGTTTTGATCCAAATATCCTGTAAATTGGTCTGAAAGTTTGTTTTGATGATTTCTAAGTCAAGTTCGAACATGGGTCATTTTGGATGAAAAACTAGGTCACACCGCCCAAATATTGAAAAACCTTGTTAACATTCTAGTGGTCACATTTTCGACTCAATTATCATCAAACTTGGTCAGGATGCTTGTCTAGGTAATTGCTCGGATGAGTTTGAAATCGCATGTGAAACTAGGTCACCGGAGCTAAAAATAGAAAATCTTGTTAACACTCTAGTTGCTACTGTTTTGATCCAAGTATCCTAGAAATTGGTCTGAAAGTTTGTTTTGATGATTTCTAGGTCCAAGTTTGAATATGGGTCACCTGGGTAAAAAACTAGGTCACACTGCTCAAATATGGATAATCCTTGTTAACACTGTAGTGGTCACATTTTTGACTCACCTGTCATGAGACTTGGTCAGAATGCTTGTCTAGGTAATTGTTTGGATGAGTTTGATGGGTCAGGTGAGCGATCTAGGGCCATCATGGCCCTCTTGTTTAATAAATATAAGAATAACATTTATATGATTCAATGATTAATAAATCTTAATTGCTAAAATTCAAACTTTTGCATAATGAAGTCACTTAACAAAGAAGTACACATGTGCGTTAAGTTTGCAGAGATAATTGAGGCGTTTATTTATTCATTAGTGTTGATTAGATTAAAATATCCGTGAAAAGGTGTTGATGAATATGTATTTTTATTAGTAATTCCAACTTATTTGGTATTATTTATTAGAACAGGTATTATATATTGTTTCATGTTAATGACTACATGTTCTTTAATCAATTTTGTATAAAAGTAAATGTGAAATATAATTGCATATTTCTTAGAACATACTTGTTACCACCGTATTCCCTATTTAACAAATAAACGATTATCACTAGACCTTTACATAATTACAAGTGTATATCAATCAGTGTCCAATAATGTTAATCTCTCACAATGAAGGTGTTGATAGGATTTAAATACCTGGAAAATGTGTAAATTTACAAATACTTTTCAGATAAACATTAATTAAACATAAAATGGCCTTCAAATCAAACACATTCTTTTAATAATCTTCATTAAGAAATATTATTAGATTAAAGTCAAAACTAAAATGATAACTTATAAATTAAATATTGGAGGAGAACTGTCTGCATATTTCAAATTTGGGAGAGAACTGTCAGGGGAGGAAACAGTTTGGGTGAGAACCGTCAGGGAGAGGAACTGGTAAGGGAGAGAATAGTCTGTCATTCTATTTGGCTGCTGGTTGGATTCTAATGACAACCTAGCTAAAGATACTTCAGCGAACAGGTTTTATAGTATTGCTAGACCTGTTCGCTGAAGCCAACCCCGTATCGAAAGTCAACCAGAACCGTGACATTTTTATGTCATGCTGTAATTCAATAAATTTGCGTGATCTGGACAAAAGCTATTTTAATACAGGTAGTTTGATATATTTGGGACCCTTCAGTCTATATTTTTGAACACAGAATGTTAGATTGATGAAATATCGCCTCAAAGTTTATCAGCCGCTTCACATTTCATAAAATACGCCGCCATTGCTGCCCTAATTATCACGTGACCAGCGAGAATTTAGGTTCGGATACCTTTGCATGACACGTGACCCAAATGCTATTTTTAATTGAAAACATGGCTTTGCAATTATGAATAACGGTGTATTTATTCAATAACAGACATTGTACCAAAAGCATGTTGGATTTATAATGTTTTGAGTGATGATTCATGAATTATTTGTTTGTTTTAATATAAAATCATACACTTACTAAAAATAGTGTACGGTCTGTTACTAAAAATAGATGCTAGAATTTCCAGAACATTAAGTCTCGCGAGATCTCATTTGAAAGCAGACTCCATATTGGTAAACATTCTCTACATATTTCTCTAAAAAATAGTTGGGTACACAATGTCATTGAAGTTTCATTTAAAAACAAAACATGAATTGGTTCAAAATTGATTTGTTTATCAAATGGTATTTTTATTTGACCCAAATTTGATTAAAAAGGGTGATTTAAATAGGTTTTTATGTACGGCGCACGAACTGTCAAATTCTGGTAGCCTTTGCAAATAGGGTTGACCCATAACTTTACTGTCGCAACGTCAAAATAAAAGCGACATATAAAGTTATGGAAGCCAGAACTAATGACAACCCTGACATTATTCAACAAATTAGCTTACTCTATGATTACTTAGCAGTGCAGTTAAGGTAAAATTTAACTCAATTAAACAGTAATCCTCTAGGGTTGTGCAATAATTAGTAATTTATACAGTATAATATATAGTTGTTTGATCTGTTGATTTTTGAAAAAATAATCAATGATTAACATCCAGGAATTTCTTTCGTTGAAAAAGTTTAAGCACATATCATATAATCAGTCAAACAAATCTTTTAAACAAAATTATGTAAAATAACAATTTGACAAGACTATCATGTTTTCTTTTGTTTTCCCTCTGCAAACTTACACTTTATCCGGGTACTGGTACCGGTTGAATATATGGTAACTTGTCAACAAAATATAACATAGATGTGCAATTTGTCACTACATAATATTTTAAATTTAATTAAAGTAATTTTCAAAAGATTGCGTAAGCTATTAGAACAAAGATTGCATTTTTTCTACATGATATACCTTTTAAATGTTTGTAAATAAAATTTTCGGGTTCAACTTCCTACAACTTCCTACTGAAGAGTATTTGTTCAGAAGCCGTACCCTACCGTGCACTGACTACACACTCATCCATAACTGGCTGGAGTGTACGTGACATTCCTTAATATCTGCTAACATATGTATGGATGATATTTTCAAATAAGACCAATTCAGCCATTTCTACTTTGCTCTTTGTTTCTTGATACCTGTTCATCATAGATTATAAGCTGTTTTTTCTTGTAGGTTTTAAAGTACTAAATTTTTATACAGCTTGTTCTGTAAACGGGATCTTTTAAATAGAAGGTACTAGTTAAAGATCACTTAACTTCACATACTTATGTGAAACATGTTCTTCTCAATATGCAAATTTTAAAAAATAACTATATATACTACATCACAAGGTATCACAAGGTAATAATCATTGCCATCTATATATAGGCCTTCTCTAGGTTTATCAAAGTACTGAGGCACAGATGGGTAGGTTATTGTAATAAGACATTCTTCATGGACAGTATTTGGTTAAGAGTAAGTTGATGAAAATAAACCTATTTTGCTTTGTTTTACTGCGCACCAACACAATTTAGGTCATATGACGCCAAAACAAGAAAGATGATTTTGGCTTACCTAAAGTGTTACATACTTAAAGCAACTAAGAGCTCAAAACTGCCTCACCTGCTGTTAACAGCTAAGAGATGCACAGTTTCCAATAATTGGAACTCATTTAGTTGCATCTTACAATCACGCAACGTTAAATGGTGGCTGCAGTTCTGATGCCTCAACCTGTAAAGGCCAATTCGACTCATCTACTCTAGTGACAACAGAAGCTTCTAATTGCTGTATGATCATCTATGAATAGACAGTGAAAACTGCATGGTGGTATAGATAATGTTCAATTTGACTCAAGTTAAGATCTACTCATTTCTTACATGTAGATCTGATTGCCACTGTATAGTTTTGCCTTCATTGCAATTTGGATTTCCTCAGAAAGCTTATTTTAGCCATGCAATCAAACCGTCCTTAACAGACAGACATTAGACAAAGTATCAAAAAATCGTTTGAAGTAATTTGAAACATAATAAACTTAATTTTTATCCAGCAAGATTGTTTTGGCAGTTTACCTGCCGGCTGCACAACCAACGCCATGTTTGTTCTCAGAATCGTTAAAATTACCTACTCAGTATTGATTTTCCAGCAGTTAAAATTAGAAACTGGATTGCTTTCAAAATTGTGAAAGCCTGCCGATTATTGCCTGTTTGAAAGATCACAAGAAGATGATAACCTAATGGTGGTTGTCAGATCCTAATGCATGCATTATTTAGGAATCAGATTGAGCAGACATTAATATCCATTCTCAAATCCTTATTCATGTACATTTGTAAACAGGGCTGATTTGACTTATTTTAGGGCTGATCCAACTTGTTTGCACATAGAAGCCAAGTTTCATGACAAACTAACCATTTCTTATTATAGATATTGATCTTAACAGACAAGATGCCATTTCAACCATTTATTCATAAAAGTCTAGTTTCTTTTCCTTGGAATCCTTTACCCTATTTTCAGGGTTGATCCCACAACTGTTGCAAGTCCTATACTTATTTCATAATGTTACTGCAGTTTTCAGTCAACCCTTGATTTGTATAAATTAAAAAGCCTCCTTTCTCAAAATTTGTCTGCGAGATTTTAACATGATTATAAAGAAATAATCCTATGAACATCTATAATACTGGGTCATCACAATAATATTGTATAGGGAAACAAAACAACACATAATACATTTTGCAATGAAATAAAGCTTTTTATTTGGAAATTGCACTTGATACATATTTTACAAACAATCACTATATTACACACAAGTACAATCACAACAAAATTTTTGTTGATTTTATAGGTTCACAAAAATTGACTTAATTGTCTCCCCTGACATATCTTACAAAGATATATGAAATGAAGGGATAAATGACTTTTTGAGTTTAGTTTATACAGAATTTATCAATAACCTGAAGAAGGGTACATATAGCACTAGAAACCGATAGTTATAACCAGCCTCCTGTGTTTTGATGTGTTGTCCCCTTCTCCAAATCTTTCAATTTAGAATTTATTCAAGTTTAATCATGTAGGATGATATAAGCTTGTGCATGGTCACACTCTTAAATCCATTCCTGAAACCAACCAATACAAAGCTATGAGTGTAACATAGTGTTATAATATTACAACTGTTCAAATGTTTTATATAAATCAGTTGGTAAATTTAAAATATAAAATTCTGATCTTTTTCAACACAACAGACATAAAAAGATCAAAATTTCATATTTTATGTTAAACAATTAGGAAAATAATATCATTTTAACAGAAAGTCACACAAAAAAAACAACACAAAAAACAATACATGGAATACATGTAGTTGAATATATCTATACAGTAATGACTACATACACTCGCATGTACAAAACAAACAACAAAAACAGAAAAAAAAATCTGGTACAGATCTATAAACCTTGATCATTTTCTTCTCGGTCAAAAACTCAACATAATGAAAATTAAATCTGTAGAATTCATGCACATTGTCCGATGTCATGTAAAAAAATGAAGCCATGGAATTTTAAATCAATACCCAAATACCTTACAAAGTTACAATACAGTTAATTAACTGTCTATTGTGAAATAGATAGTTAATTATCATTTGTTTCCAGAGTGGTTTCTAAAATTAATACAGCTATTATTGTAAGTGCAATTATTTTTTTAACAGCAGGATAACTGGTGTGTGTTGGGGTTTGTTACCCTTTTTATTTTCGGTTAACCAAACCTGTATAAGGTCCCACTCTGCAAATCAGGCCATAAAATCTCCCACACTGAGTTGAAAATATCCCCACTACTCTTGCACCAAATTTTTTAACAAAATGTGTTTTTCCAGCAGTGCAGGAACATGGAGAAGATAAACACTGTACTCAACTCATCCCCCACCCCCTCCGTGTCACAGGGGATCGGGATCTAGGATAACAATTGACTTGTGCATAATATATGGCAAAAAGAAAACAAAAAAACTTTTTTCAAGGCACATCAACAATAAAAGAAAATAAGGCTGTTGAATACATATATACATGATAATGTAAAATTTATATATTACACAATTTATATAGCAAGAAATAATGAAAGACATTTACATGTACAACAATATAACAATAAATATAATATTATAATTCAATCAATGAATATTTAACAGTATAAACTCTTACCACAGATAAATTCATAGAAAAATAAAGAAAGAAAAAAGAAACAATATAAATTACATTACATTTTGCAGAAGTTGTGTGCCTTATTATTTGTAAATTTCATGGAACTTGATGAAATAGGTTTGAGCATCTGCATTAAGAATACTGAAAGATCAGGCTTGCCCTGTACATCCATGTAGTCTCTAACCAGTCTCCAGACATCAGGCGGTTCAACTCCTGATATTTCAATATTGTAATTCCTTTAACTGACTGTTCTAAATCACAAGCATGACAAGCCCAGATGTTTAGTCAAATTAGCAGGGCAAGTGTTGCAGCACAAGTTACAACAAAATCTATAAATAGTAACAAAGAATGAGTGTGGATCAATGTTATTTAATGACGCCAAAAAAAATTCAACCCTGTATGAAACTATACTTTTGAAATTCTTAAAATATCACCACCAATAACTTCATTCATAGTGTTTGCCACTAAAAGTGAACAATATGACTTACAGTATACAAAGTATACCACATACATATGGCACATTGTGTTTTGGTTGACTAGCTTGGATAACAGAAAAATCATACTATAAAATTAATAACTCTGTATATGTGAGTAGTGACAATGATCTTCCTTTAACAGCATAATTAATTATAACAAGTACAGCCTCCATGTGTGTGCAGTTTGACAAAGTTACAATAGTCATAGTATTGACTGCTTAATAATTAACAATTTGCATTTTGGCAATAACCAATAGACAGTCTCAAAGCTGGACAGGTCTACAAAACAAATTTAACATAATAGTTAAGGCTAAAAACATCTATGGTATTTCAAGAGATGTTCAAGCCTAAAATGTCATAGTTTGATAATCACACATTTGTATATAGTTTTTATGATATGGTCCCTATACAAAATATATGTGAAAATTTTCCCTAACACATATATATATACATAAGTCATTCTACTTCTACACAAATTGCCATTCTCCTACAAAATAAATCATTCTTTAAACAACTGACTAGCAATACATTATAATTATGAAGTAAACATGTATGTGTATAATTAACTACATTGTAATTAACTACATTGTTATATGTAAATAGTGGAGACAAAATGAACACATGGCAATTTTGATCTGCAGCTTTTATAACTGATGTCATATGGCATTTTAAACACAGTAATAAGTTAAACCAGATCTAATACAAATATCAGGCCAATACAAAGCCAATGCCAGACCGATATATATCTAATTTCTGACTTATACAGAGTCAATATTAGACCAATATATATCTAATATTGGACCAATACAGGGCCAAAATTAGACCAATACATATCTAAAATCATGCCAATACAGAGCCAAAATTAGACCAATACATATCTAAAATAAGGCCAATACAAAGCCATTATTAGATATATCTAATACGAGACCAATACAAAACCAACATTAGGCCAATTTAACTCCATGATGAGATAAATGATGACCCCTAAACTTAACAATAACAGATCAAGCACCAGGCTTATTCAGATCAAATTTTAAATCAATACTCAACATCAGGACAATAAAAATCCAATAATCCAATATCAAGCCAAAATCAAATTATAAACACAATATCAGACCCTGTATAAAAAGAAAGATGTACTTTTACAAGGAAAATACATGTATTATGATATAATAAGGTTTTTTTTTTATAAATTAACCATAAAGTAAAAGAAAATGTATGTCCTTTTAAATTGTTAGAACTTTAAGATCAAAAAAATACACAAAAAACAAAAACAGCAAAACACAAGGCACAGTTTGCTAGTCAGAGAAAGCTGTGAGGCTGCATACATTGCTCCAAATTATCAAACATTGTATTTAGTAGACATTATAAAAAGTTTGAGGTAGAAAGGTAATAAATTATCTTTCCCAACTGAATAATGTATTTGCATTATTCATTTTACATTTCTGATCTAACTTTTCCTACACTAAGTTTTGATTGAGCCATTATTCATGACACTAACAAAGTTAAAATCTATTTCTTTATGTGCAATGAAATTACAATTAAAAAACGAGGCCTCGAGGTTATAAAACATTTTTATTCTGAGTTGCTGTCTGAAATCTCAGGATTTTCATTGGTCAGTGAACATTCTGTGGCTGTTTCTAACCAATCGTATATCTGAGATATGTTATCTCAGGTGACAGACGTTATATAGTTGCTTACAACAAATTCAGACTATATTTTAGATTGGCTTCTTTTGAAAGTAACAAAATTTGGTCTCTGTCTTTTAAATCAGATGAAGTTAGTCTTTCTTTCTTTTTTAATTAAAAACTAGCTCATAATCAGCTATTATAAAAAATAGTGAGATCTTTCCCCTGAAAAAAAAAACAACAAAAAAACAAGTAAACTTATGCAAGCTGCAGCAATATGAATGTCTTGTAGTAGATCTTTTGTTTCTGTGGAGATCAGCTCATAGTTCCTAGACCAATGTCAAGGTCAAAAGACTAGCTGGTTCTGGGAGCACCTAGATGAAGATCAGAACCATTTAAGCCAGACTTGGAACCATCTGAAATTAAACAAAAGGGTATACATACATAATTATGTTATTTCTTGAATATTGCATGTAAAGTCAACTTTTATAAGGAGAGATTTTATTCAACAGAACTTTTCAATAATACAAAGCCCAGCCAGCTAGATTTCTGTAAAAAATTGACTAAGACTCTTTATTTTATATTTGGCAATGAGATTACCAGTATTTGATATTGAAATGTAACGATGACAAAACTCAATGGTTTTCACCCTTCCTACCTGTAACCGTGCTAAATATCTAAAATGGACTTGTCCATCTTTCAATCAGGACAAAACCATGGAAAATTTCAAAATAAGTACTGACTGAATATTGAACAGTGCAGACCATGATCCGATGGCACCGATCTTGGTCTGCACCGCTTACATGGGTAAAGAATCTTTTGCTGCCAGAAGGTTATTGTACTTCCCAAAATCAAAACAAAACAAGGTCAATTAACAATGTCATTAAGGTAATGAATGGCTAAGAAGACTACTTGTTCTTCTTTTTTTTTATTGAATCTTGACTGCTATTGTTACATCATCAAAAATAAAATACATCTTCTCATATAAATGTATATGGACTATAAATAACAATCAAGTAATGTTTAACTATCCTCACATTGGCTCTAGTGTTGTTTAAAGATTTGATGACTAAGAGTATAGTAAATTAGTTCATAGCATTCTAAAGTAAAATGTATCAATATTCTATACATATTTTTTTTTTTTTTTAATTTTAAATATGAATTCAGAGGCAATAAATTTTAAATTAAATATAAAAGTTAATATTGTAAACATGCATGCATGGTTATAAGTTATGGTAAACTGAAAATTCAATTATACATTAATTTTAAGTTTAAAGGGACTCCACTGAGGTTTTTTGACATGACGAGACTGGAAATAATTTTTCGAGATTTATGCTCAGTTTGATGTAGGTCTAGATCAGTATCTTGTGCGCAAAATTTTAAATCATTCGCTCTCGCGATTATCCAGGATAATTATTTAAGTAGTGAAAAATTCCCTCAGTGGAGTTCCTTTAAAACATTTTTTCTTTAATTTAGCCAAATGATATTGCTTTTTTGAACCACTGGATCTAGTACATCTGAAGTCTGCAAGTAACCAAGGCAGGTGCAATATGAGGAACATAATTATGGGGAACATATGGTCACATCTACAAATGGGTTTAAAGCCTTAACGGGCTCAAACCCAAATGGGGTAAAAACCCACAATCCTTGGACTTGGATTAACAGGCAGTCACTAACAATTATGCACCTCTTGCCTTCTAATTTGATTGCTAAGCAAGAATATTGAGATGAAAGGTTGTTTTTGTTTTGGTTTTCTAGTGCAGCCAAACACTGTAAAAGTCAAATAGTGACTTTCTAATTCTTCTAGGGAGAAAGTTCAAACAAATAAAACCACTGACATTCTGAAAGATAGCTGGATAGATATATCTGAAAGATCCAAAAGTCTCTCATGGGTTTTGAATTCAAAACAGGTGAGGTGCAAGTGGTTTGAAGTCAGCCACCTAATCCACTAAACCACATGGAGAAAATCTTTTTAATGACCTAAATGGCACCTTGGTAGAACCACCAATCTTGGTAGATCAACAAAGTTGCTACAATAATTTGAATTCAAACCCAAACCTCAAACAAAAAGCCATGAGGGGGATTAACTAAGAAGGAAAGCTCAATATTTATTAAGGAGCCTACATAATATTTATTGAATAATACTGATCTTCATTTCATTCAATATGTTTTGTTTACTCTTGAAAAAAACGAACTAGACCTATCACTGGAGGTGATTAATACTTTGACTTTTTGAAAAATAAGGAGTCTGAAGAAAAATTTGAACACAAACTATCAACTGTGTACAAAGAAATATTTCAATTAATTGTAATCCCAACTGGGGTCTCCAAATAAGCTTGCTTTTCACAAAGTTTGATTACAATATCTCATTTCTAACTCTAGTTATTGTCCGGAAACCGTTTTTCTATTTTTAGTAACACTGTTACAGTGACCTTGACCCCAGGGGGCCAAATGAAATACCAACCCAGGTCTTCATATCAGCTTGCTATACGCCAAGTTTGATAACAATATGTCATTCCTAACTCTAGTTATTGTCCGAAAAACCATTTTTCTATTTTTAGTAACGGTGACCGTGACCTTGACCCCAGGGGGTCCAAATGCAATACCAACCCAGGTCTTCATATAAGCTTGCTATACACCAAGTTTGATAACAATATCTCAATCCTACCTCTAGTTATTGTCCGGAAACCATTTTTCTATTTTAAGTAACGGTGACCTTGACCTTGACCCCAGGGGGCCCAAATGCAATACCAACTAAGGTCTTCATATAAGCTTGCTATACACCAAGTTTGATAATGATATCTCATTCCAAACTCTAGTTATTGTCCGGAAACCATTTTTCTATTTTTAGTAATGGTGACCGTGACCTTGACCCCAGGGGGTCCAAATGCAATACCAACCCAGGTCTTCATATAAGCTTGCTATACACCAAGTTTGATAACAATATCTCAATCCTACCTCTAGTTATTGTCCGGAAACCATTTTTCTATTTTAAGTAACGGTGACCTTGACCTTGACCCCAGGGGGCCCAAATGCAATACCACCCCAGGTCTTCATATAAGCTTGTTATAAACCAAGTTTGATAACAATATGTCATTCCTAACTCTAGTTATTGTCCGGAAACCATTTTTCTATTTTAGTAACAGTGACCTTGACCTTGATCCCAGGGGGTCCAAATGCAATACCAACCCAGGTCTTCATGTAAGCTTGCTATACACCAAGTTTGATAACAATATCTCAATCCTACCTCTAGTTATTGTCCAGAAACCATTTTTCTATTCATAATAACGGTGACCTTGACCCCAGGGGGCCCAAATGCAATACCAACCCAGGTCGTCATATAAGCTTGCTATACACCAAGTTTGATAACAATATCTCATTCCAAACTCTAGTTATTGTCCGGAAACCATTTTTCTATTTTTAGTAACGGTGACCTTGACCTTGACCCCAGGGGGCCCAAATGCAATACCAACCCAGGTCTTCATATAAGCTTGCTTTACACCAAGTTTGATAACAATATCTCATTCCTAAGTGAAGTTATTGTCCGGAAACCGTTTTTCTATTTTTAGTAACAATGACCTTGACCTTGACCCCAGGGGGCCCAAATGCAATACCAACCCAGGTCTTCATATGAGCTTGCTATACGCAAAATTTGATAACAATATCTCATTCCTTACTCTAGTTATTGTCCGGAAACCATTTTTCTATTTTTAGTAACGGTGACCTTGACCTTGACCCCAGGGGGTCCAAATGCAATACCAACCGGAGTTTCCACATAAGGTTGCTATATACCAAGTTTGATTACAATACCTCATTCCAAACTCTAGTTATCGTCCGGAAACCATTAAGTGGACGGACCGACCGACCAACCGACCGACAAGCTGACTCCTATATACCCCCCCTAAACTTCGTTTGTGGGGGTATAATGAAGGGATGTTCTGCAAAAACGTATTTCACACTTTTACAAAATTATGATAGTTTTAGTGTAAGGTATTTCAAAAGTAAAATCAGGGGTATTCACCAGAACTGTTATAAGAAGGTCATGTTATACAGTGTTAGTCTGTATTAAGTGACAATACTTGCGTGTGCATGTTAGGTGCAAAGTGCATCGTAACTTGAACAAGGTGCAAATTATACCTACGACTATGAGTTGTCCCCCTTTTCCTTTCTTAACATTATAGTTGTCTCCCTTGGTGAACTCTATGCTTCCTTGTTTACCACTGGCAAGATCATGGTTTATGCTGTAAAGAACAATCATATGATATAAATATAATTAGAAATTTACAATAAGGCAATAACAACAACAATAAACAAACAAACAAAACAAGATCAGTCAATCAGTAATTAACTGTTGTTTACAATCAAATTAATATTTTTTGTATCTTGATATAAAATAGCAAGAAGAACTTAAACTGATAATGTTTTCAAATTTTGGGAAATGAAGCGGGTGGCCCATTGGCGTCATTAAACCATTTAAAATTACCAAATGAAAATCAGGAAATTTTTTAATTTGTATTCATATAAAATCCATGTGCGCTTAATAACAGAGATGCCGTTTGCTTAAGCTCCCTCCAGAAACGACCACAAATTTATTATTAATTTCGATTTTAAAGCAGCATCCCTCAAGGTAAGCCAAAATATATCAAGAAAATTAAACTTGTGACAAATTGTACTTAGGTTTTAAGAAAAGTAAAAAGATTGAAGTAATAACTTGCATGTAGGAGGGGTTATCCAAAAATTCGTGGACTTTTTAAATATCTCTTGAAGGTCAACGTGTATTGTAATGAAATTTTATCAGCATACATTGTAGAATATTATCAACACATTTTGAAAGAAACAGTTAATTGTGTCAATGAAAAATGAATTAATATTGCTTTTCAATAAGCACATACACAGCACCCAGCGCACGGTAGAAAAGTGCAGTAAGTCATTGTATATTTCTTGCTAAAAAACTCAAAATTAAACGTAGAAAATCCGCTGAACATCGCATGTTTCTTCTATGATGTCATTTAAGTAATTCTTTAAAGTAATTGACGTCATTTCCGTTTATTTTGTCCAAATCGCTAGAAACATCAGACGCCATTATTGTTTACAACAGGAAAATGACGGGCCCACGGTAATTAGAAAATTGTGCAACCATAAAACAATCATAAATTTGTGTTGTAATTTGGGAATGACACGTACAAAAACACTTGATAAAAATCAGCAGACTAACAGTGAAAATAAAATGTCACGATCATTAATGTTAAAGTGGCATAAGAAATTAAGTGATGGACATTACTTTGAGAAGCAGTAACTGTCATTGACGGCTTAACGTTGAAGCACAAGTTGTACATTAATATTATGACGTTGACGTCAATAACTTTTTGGAGTGCGCCGCTGTTGCCGACATGTGTTTATGTAAAATTAATTATTGTTGTAATATAAGAAGCTACTAACATGAATTTTTCCGAGTGTATTTGTTATTTATTCTTCTAAGCAGTATAAACATTTCAAATTAATATCTCAAATATATTTTGCGCAACAAAGAAAGTCCACGAATTTTTGGATAACCCCTCGTACATGTATGTGATTTATTTCATGAAAAACGCCCAAAAAAACACTTTTTCTTTTCTTTTGGGAGCTAAGGTTTATGAGCGTAATACTGAGGTTAGCATTATAACAGGGCGGCAGTGTATATATGCATTTCACCAGTTACAGTGGCACTTTTTAATACTGTATACTCACACATTGTTGGTTGATATTTTGAGAACATTCTCCTTGTCTGATATCATAACTAGTTTAGTCAATGTTTCTATAATATGATCACTCTGTAGTATCAGGTCACCCTGTAAGAATAAAATATAATACAAAATTAGAATCTGCAGATGGAATGATTGTCAATCCCAGATTTGGCAATTGGCGACCTGGGGTTGGATGGTTGGCAACCCCAGATAAAATTATTGTCGACCAAAGATTAGACGATTGTCGACCCCAGATTAAACAATTGTTAAATATATAGATTAAGAGGATATTGAATGAGTATAGGTTAAATACTGAATTATCAATATATTGAACGAGTTGAACAAAATTTTAACAGACTCGCATCATATTCTTTTATTCAACCAGTTGAATAAATTAGTAGATCTTATACACCTGTAAGGATATAATATTCTATCAACAATAATAATTGTAATATGTTTACAATAAAAAGAAATAGTTTTTTCAATCAGGACCCTATAGTGTAAGACAAACATATAAGCAGGCTTTTAGGTTATGTTCATTTAGCACAAATGGTGTCACTTTGTAAAATTATTACACTTGTTATTAAATGATAATTCTATCAACATTCCTTACATACTTAACCCTTTACCACATATATACGCGAAACAACGCACTTTCGACCCCCCCCCCCCTTTTTTAGGCCTCAAATAGTGAAAAAATGTCGTAATTGGGCCCCAAACACATGTTTTCGTTTGAGAAATGTCGCTTAAAAAAATGAGCACTTTTTCGGCGCCGCCACCCATCCAAAAGATACATCAGGGGGTTGCCAGAAGGGGGATGTGCCCCCTTCTGTAAGGGGGGTTTGAAGGTGGGCGGAGTCCCCCTCATCGCCAAGAAAATTTTGGACTTGTGAGAGGCTAAAAATGACCCCAGGTCGATCATAATGTAACGTGTAACCAACGCTGAAAAGCCTTTGACTCTATCTCAATCCCTTGAGAAGTTGCAGCACTTTGAAATAAATTTTGATGGAAAAAATCGAGGCAAAATAGTGATTTTTGGCAATTTTGAGATGTCCCCTCGTTGCCATGGTAACAGGAAATTTAAGACTGAGCATGTTGTTACAAAGGCAATGGTCCAGTCAACATTTGTGCCAAGTTTGATTAGTATTGAAGCATTTTTCATAGTTTCATAGCAGTTTGAACTTGTAACAGGAGGCTTTTCAGTGAAAACGGCCATTTTTCACAATATGCTCATGGGGGAAAGGGTTAAATCAAACTTTAATCATATACAGCTCATTTGTGAAAATTGATACATTTTCTTAAAATAATCTTCAAGCTCACAATCAAGCAATTTAACATGGTTAAAAAAAACAAAGCCAAAAACAACATCTAAATAAATTAAAAAATAAAATCCCCCCCCCCCCCCCCCCCACTTAAATTATCATTAAACCCTTAAAACGCTGATAAATTCAAATCATGAGCCAACAGTTTACCAGACTATAATGTTACAATGTAAGCTTACTCAGTAATGCACTTGTTTCAAATTTTTTATGGAAGAGTCTTAATTCAGGAAATTCAGCAATTCTAAGGGTTAACTATTGACAATGTGTTGTCAGCTACTTATTAATTCTTCAAGTTAATCATTAAATAATCCAAAATATTTTGAAACATGATAAAAATAAGATTTAACTACATGACATTGTACACTAATTTTACAAAAACAACAGAAAACTAAGTTAAAAATTTCTTAAACAAAGATCAAACATAAATATATGCAGTGGTAAAAGAAAAATATCATGATGAAATTATAATACCATTAAAAGGGAACTAAGAAATACAAAAGGGTAACATAAACAGAAGAATCATACATATTGAACAAAAAGAATATGGCTGTCCAAAGAAAGAAATTTCAGTAAAAATACCAATTTGCTGCCGTCCAAAGGAAGAAGTTCTGGTAGTGAAATATTATAAATAAGGATAGAAATCATAAATATAAACATATATAACTTAAAAGGTTTCGTTTATAATTAAAATTATATAAAATTATATTCTATACATTATAGTTTACCCGTTCAAGCTGTTTCAATGCTTCCTACATGAAAAAATACGATTAACAGGTTAGAACACTTAAGGGAGAAACAACATTCCGGCTTTTGAGATCACAAAGCAACGACATTGTATACAAATAATAATTAATATCAACCCTTGACCTGCTTGAACCAGAAATTGCCACCAGTATAGAGACAGACCAGCTTAAACTTCTGTCCAATCTGACCAGGCTCTATCCTACTGGCCAATCTTTTTCAAATTTTCATCTTGATATACCCAAAATTGATAATGGACTGAGCCAAAAAATGAAAGCTGGAAAAGTCCATTTACCACGTTCAGCTGATTAAGGATTTACGTGCTAAATGTTAAAGCTGCATGTATTATTTTTACTTTAAATCTTAACACATTTTTCTGAAGGTTGATTTTCTTGAAGTATTTTGGCTCAACTGGAGGCATGCAGCTGTAATTGTGATAACATAATAATTTTTGTATAGATATGCCAACAGTTTAAGCCCTGGCTAGACAGCACATTTTTGCAGTGCGATCAGACTCTATTCGCGTAGATATAGAACTTTGATATCAATATCCCTCAATGTAACAATGGTCTATTCCAGATTCAAAGCAGGACTTGTCCATTATACATATTTAGGTAGATCAAGGATAAATATATCTCTACCCCTCCTGAGATATCTTCAATGGACTGTTCCAGATTTAAAGCAGGTCAAGTCCATTATTCAAATTTAGCAAGGTTAGAGTATAAGCTGAGAAAGACAGAGAACAATGTTTTGTCTGAATCTAAGTTTTAATAAATATACAATAGTAAACTTCACACATCTAAAAACAAATAAGCTCTCTACCACACATTATATGCAATATGGAAAACATACCTTCTTATACTGTGTAAAAAGGCAAAAATATTTGATATAATTCATTCAATAATTGTCTACTATTACATTGACTGACAAATATCATACTCCCTTCTTTATTTTTATTCAAAGTACACATTTTTTGCACAAAAAGTATAAGTGCTGCAAATTCACACAATTTAGTGGGTATAAAATTTTGTGGTTCTGTCAAAAAAGGTTGAACTATCTACAAAAACAACAGAAATAAGTGCCTCACGAATAATAATGATTTTGCAGTATATAATCACATCATTCTGCATTGTCATTTAATCTGTCCTCTGATTAGTGAAAGTTTATTAAAGTCACCCCCCCCCCCCCCAATGTAAGGGTCATATGTCAACTTTCCAGACCTCAGGTAAACCATTGTGTATTAACTTCAGCAAAAACCATCATCGAAGTAGAACAATCAAGCTGGATTCTAGAACAATTCTTGTATTTTAGATGATAAAAATTAGCCCCTCAGTAACTAAGAATACAAAATATTAGGATCAAGAGAGACAAATGTAAATTCATACAATTAAGATGCATTATGACTTCCAACTAGCTGATAATTATAAATATATTTCACTTACTTTGGATCCATTCTCTTCCACATTTCCTATCACAATCACAAATATACCATCCATTAATGAACTCGTCTGTATACCTGAAAATAGACCCATTTCTTAAAAAATATGTCTTCAAAGTGTTTTATTGAAACTTGATGAATAAAAATATTTGGGTGTTAAGACATTATAAACATCATACCGGAACTTTTTAGTTCTACAGTAACTGATGGTAGAAGACCTTGTGTAACCCTCTGTGAATTATTTGACCTTAGTGCAATAACAGCTTAATTCCTATAAAACTTCAATGGGAGTTAACCTGTTACTGTACTAAGGTAACAAAAGAGGCGTCAGAGATGTACCGCCTAATTCCTGATAGCTAGTTAATCTGCTTCCTTGCATTTAAGAATTCAAGTTTGTAGGTACATGTAGATATGAATCACAGGTGAAAGCTATGAAGGGATCTTAGTACACAATTATAACCACTGGGTGTGTTGGAGTTCCACTTTAATATACAGTAAAAGGAATGACTTATCTTGGAAATGAAATCTGTCTACAAAGGCCATCCCTTGTATATAACGTATTTTTAATATCTGACTGAAAATCTTGCCATAAAATGTGTGATCTCTGAACATATTTATTTAAGCTTGATTGTGAAACAAGTTCTTGCAACTTATATTAATCACTTTCGAGTCCATTTCCTGGAACCAACCCCTTGTGTGATTTCTTGCTATCCTAACAACAATTGCTAAAATATTTTAAACAAAACTCTATTAATTTGCACTAGAATGATGCTTGAAAGATAGGACTTAAAATTTGAATATTAAAAATAACTTACCATTAATTAAAGAGAATGGTACTCTATCTTTAATTTTGAAATCCTTCTCCTCTACAACAAATAACGTGGAATCAGTCAAGAATAACACACGCTTCCTGCTCTTATAACCATGACGATCGTACTTGGTCACATATGTGCAGTACTGAAAAAAACATTACAGAAAAATTAATAAAATACTGTACTTTGATCACTAGCTGTGATAATATAAGACCTAAGCAAGGAATGGCTTTAAACCTATAGTGGTTATGGGCATGCGATTTTCGGTCACAACCACTTAACCATGGAATAGCTTTGTTTATTCCAAACATTGAAATGATTATGTCTACTAAATTTTGAAAAGATATACAATTATCGTTAACACAATATAGCCCTTACAATGCTGTATTTATTAAATGGAATTGTCCGTCTTTTTTTTTTTTTGGCACTGTTCATTATCATTTTCGGGGATATAAAAACAAAAATTTGAAAATGGCATGCTGCCAATATAGTCTTGTCAGACTGCTAAGATGTGTAAGCTTGCCTGGCTTAATACTGCATACATGTGAACTTTTTTCGATGATCAAGTGGGAGATTTTTCTTTAAAAAGAGGGAGAATTTAGAATTTTTTAATAAACAAAGAAGGAATTTCTGATATCAAAAAGAGGGAGATTTCTATAATTTGTGAAAATACCCCTTATTTTAAGAAAAACCTTTGAAAATATGGCTGCAGAAAGTGTGAGTTTCCCGCATGTATGATACTAGTGGTGAAAGGCAGATAAATTTTTGGTAAAGCATTCTTAAAAGTATTACTATTACAAGATATTACCTTTATATTTTCATTTGACTGTTTAAGCGAGGACAGCAGGGAATTTTTGTGGCTTTCATGATGAGCAGCTGAAATAGAAAGAGAATTTAAAAATCATTTATGATTATATAACATTACAAATCTATTGCAAACAACAACAAAAATAAATTTGAGAACACTGGTGTAACATAATGTTAAAACAAATTTGAGCCGTGTCATGACAAAACCAACATAATGCGTTTGCGACCAGCATGGATCCAGACCAGCCTTCGCATCCGCGCAGTCTGATCAGGATCTATGCTGTTCGCTATATCAGTTTCTCTACTTGTTAAAGAGTTTGTAAGCGAACAGCATGGATCCTGATCAGACTGCGCGGATGCAGAGGCTGGTCTGGATCCATGCTAGTCGCAAACCCATTATGTTGGTTTTGTCGTGACGCGGCTGATATGTGACTTGTATTAAGTACCGGACTGCGGATCAAAATGCAAGGACAATTTTTGCATTGAAGATTGTTTTGTTTTTGTGTTCCACCACATACCTAATCTGCTGTCCACGAAATGATCTTTGATGCTGTGTTTATATGAATCTTTCTTGTCTTTAAATAGTCTTTCTGCTACCACTTTCTGCTGCATCTGTAAAAATATATCATGTTGTAATAATTATATAAAAACTTGTGTAGTTATATATACAAACTTGTGTAGTAATATTTACAAACTCATAACACTAATTTTCCTGAAGTCTTTGAAATTCATAGTTTTCTAAATTTATTCAGAAGTCGGCACTGGAAAACATTTGTCTTAAATTTGTAAAACTGATGTTCACACTCATCATTTGATTAGCAAGAGCCTGCATCTATATGCATGATAAATATTTTGATACCATCTCTAAGAAATAGACATTTTTTGCTGTTATAAATTGGAGATTGTCATAATAATAGATTTTAACCAAGCAGCCAATGGCAGCAAGAAGTCTTAACCAAGTAACCAATTTTTGCAATGTTTGCAAACCAAAAAACCTTTCAAAACAATGGGTGTAATCCAAGAAAACCATAACAGCAAAGGGTGTAATCCAAGAAACCTTTCAAAACAATGGGTGTATTCCAATAAACCCAAATTAGCAATAGTCATAATCCAAGAAACCTTTCAAAACAATAGGTGTAATCCAAGAAACCCATAATAGCACTGGGCGTAATCCAAGAAACCCATAATGGATGGTAAACCAAGAAACCCATGATAACAATGGTATAATTTAAGATACCCATGATGGCAATGGTAGTAATCCAAGAAACCCATAATAGCAATGGGCATCATAGAAACCAATGATGGGTGTAAACTAAGAAACCCGTAATAGCAATGGGTGTAATCCAAAAGCTGATGATAGAAATGGGTGTAAACCATGAAACCCATCAACTAAACCTAATAGGAAATATACAATCACTATAAACACAGAAAGAAAATAAATCATATTTGTACAAACTATAGAAGAATATAATTTACCTGTATTTTCATGGATGGCGAGATTTTCTTCACATAGCTCAATACAAGATTTCTCATACACAATGTTTTCAGCAAGTCAGAGGTCTACAATGTGAAATACATCTTATTGTGTAAAATCATTTCATCAAGCATTTCAATTTCAAGCATGTTTTCATACAAAATATCTAGTTCATATTAACTTAACAGACCATAGAAACTAGTAAATATAAAGTAATAACAAGAGCACCGCTAGGCGGAGCATTATATGTCCGAAAGTGTTTTTTTTTAAGTAAGGATAAAGCATTTGTTAGACATGGGAATGAAATAAAGTATTACCTCCTTCAAATACATATCCTCCAATGAAGTTTGAATATTGTGGGCAAAATAGAACTTAAGTTATAATCCGGGAACTTTTTTCAATTTTAAGGTTATAGTGACCTTGAACTTTGACCTTGTGACCCCAAAATCGATAGGGGTGTTCTACCCAATATGGACAATCATCCTATGAAGTTTGAATACTGTGGGCCAAATGGAACTTAAGTTATGCTCCAAAAACTGTTTTCAGTTTTAAAGTAATAATGACCTTGACCTTTGACCCCAAAATCAATAGGGGTCTTCTACCCAATACGGACAATCATTCTATGAAGTTTGAACACTGTGGGCCAAATGGAACTTAAGTTATGCTCCTGAAACCATTTTCAGTTTTAAGGTCATAGTGACCTTGACCTTTGACCTTGTGACCCCAAAATCAAAAGGATCTTCTACCAAATATGGACAATCATCCTATGAAGTTTGAATATTGTGGGCCAAATGGAACTTAAGTTATGCTCCGGAAACCAAATTGCTAACGGACGCCAGGGGGTATAACATAATATGCCCGAAATTTTTTTCAGGCATATCAAAAGTAAGAAGCATTACCTTGTAAGTTTTTTGAAAATGAGTCTAAACATGCCAAAACATGAATAATGTTGATTTTCTTTTTTGTTTGTTTAAAAAAAGTTCTTGAATAGTTAAATTCCTTAAAATATTTTTATTATCATTATTTAAATTGTTTTAAATATTTTTAGTATCATATGCTTTTTGATTTTCATCTTGCTCTGGGTTAACAAAGGATTCAGGACCAGGATCTTATGTTCATCAAAATGCAACAAGATTGTGAAATTTTAGCAATTTTTTTTTTAATTTACTTTTTAGGTCTGTGTTTCAAAAGTCATATACATGTATCTTCAAAGGAAAAGCAACAACTAGAGCTCTCTTTTTCAACAACCTCACTGTCTGAAACATGTAAGGTTTTGTTTTTAAAGGAACTCTACTGAGGTGCAAAAGCCTTAAAACATTAAACTTGAAAATCTTAAAAGTACATTTATAATGAAACTCAGAACATGGGAAAATTTGAAAAGGATAACAAAATATATACTTAGAATTAAATTGGAAATCAATTTTTTGTGTGATTCATAGTAAGTGAGAAGCGTTGCAATGCTTTTCATTTTGCACAATTATCAAAGAAAAATTGAGATGAGGGAATGACTTGAAAATTTGCACAAAAGTTTCTGGTCCAGACCTACATTTATTGGTATACAAATGTCAGAAAAATATTTTCAGCTCAATCTTGTCAAAAACCTCAGTGGAGTCCCTTTAATCATTAACCAGCTGAATTTCTAAAATGGACTTGACCAGCTTCAATATTTTTGAAATAGTCCATTATCAATCTTTGGGGATATCAAGATGAATATTTAAAGTTAGCCAACAGTATAGAGCCTGGTCAGACTGCACAGATATGCGGTCTGACCTGGATTTATACTGGTGGTGTCAGAAGGATAAGTTTTAGGGTTAAGTATACCTCATGCAGCAGTTTTGGTGCCGGTAACCAGGATTTATCGAGCACTGTTCTAGGTGCAGATTTTGCCAGGCGTTTGAGATAGTTCATCTTGGTGAACTTCACAAACTCTCTGTTCTCATCACATTCTGGCTCATTACGATACTTGAATCCCTTCACAAACCTGAAATGTGAAATAATTTATAGCTTTAGTCAATGTTTTAAAAATATTATTCCATTTTTTTAAAAATATTATTCAATTTTTAAAAAAAAAAATTCAAATTAAAAAAAAAATATATTACTTATTCACTATTAAGACCAGTTCCTTATTGAGACAACTTTGAATCAGTCCCGTCAGTGGTCTTAAAAGAGAGCATCTTTTGTAAATTTATGAAATAAAAATATAACTAATTTTCCATATACGAGTGTGAGTGGTAGGGATGTTTGTGTTTAAACAGAAGTCAAAGATAATGTATTATTAAAGTCTAGCTTTACAACTGAATGAAGATCATCCATGCACAATTTCAGTCATAGGTGGACTGGACAAAATTTTGTAAATTAAATGACGTCATATTACACAGCTGAACAGTTTCTCAACATTTCAGAGATTGGAACACAAGACAGTGTGGAAAGTTTAGCAAAAGACTTACTCCAGAATTATGAATATCCGGGTTTTTCCTAGCTAATCCATACAAATAGGTAATAGGTACAAATTTTTTTTACAGTAAATGCTTCAAAAATAAGCCCAAGAGGTTGATAAATCTATTGTGACAGGTAGTGCACCGTGAAGCTTTAACAGTAAAAGTTTGTTTGTACCTACAGTCAGATTAGCTGGGAAAAGCCCACATTTGCTGAGTTCTGGATAACATGGTTATAATGATGAAGTTATAAACTTACTTGCGTACAACTTGGGCTGCCCATCTTCTCCTCTCCAACAACTTCTTGGCCAGAAATCTTCTCCAGTGACATTGTACAATGATGGCTGAAATAAAAATAATGCCAAAAAACTTAATTCTGAAATTAGACAATCTGATTTGGTTGAATGAAACTAAATTGTATATTGTCAATGCATGAAGTGACTATGGTTTGTTTGGCTCTTACAAAGTCCATTACCAATTCATGTGGGGGTGCATACAGATAAAATGCTGGTACTATCCAAATGCAAGCTGGTAACAAGTTTGCATCAAACCCTAAATTAACTTTAACCTTTAAACTGAACATGAAATATGTCTCGCATACATAAACAAACTGGTGCACAACTAAAATATGCATCAAATCATTTGGACTAGCAAACTTACTGCACAATGTCCATAATCTTAAGGATGTGTCCAAGATAAATAAAAAATTTGAAGAAAATCAAAATGCACTTTTCTCACAACTTATAACTATACTGTTTTCATACCTACAGCGAAAGAGAGCAATTAACATAATTACATGTACTTGTAAAAGAAATAAATGATTAGCCACAAAGTTAAGTGTATTCTGGTGGGGACTTAATTTAATACCCTGTACCCATCTACTTGATACAATAAATGGATAAAGCAACAATAGAATAATACATGTACAAACTTGTTTTTTTCACTTCCTTACAGCCAATATTACTATCATTTAAAATATAATGGAAAGTCATTTTATTGTCTAAAAATTCGGTAAAGGTGGCTCACAATGATTCAGGAGTTAACAAATTACTTTAGATAAGAAAGAAACAAAGTATAGCTTATTGGGATATCCTTTCTTACAATTTACAACAGATTGGATTCTAACAGGTAGTAATTTACATGGGTTCTAAGTAGGTGCCTAGTAATGCTTTATCAACTAAGATATTTTACAGATGTAACTGTTTTACAAATGAGGTATAAGAAGTAAAGGGAGACAACTATACCTGATATTCTCATCTTGAGATAGACTTTCCTTTGATGGTAACATCTGTACTTGGCTTGAACCTGGGTAGCTGAAATGTAACATGTTACATGTATGAAAAGATAGCCAGTCATAAAAACAGATACATAATTTACACCACTCATTTTGTTCCCAAATTAGTAAAAGAAAGCAAATGTTAACAGGTCAGTACTTTAATAACTGAGGATTTAGTTTAAAATCTATTTACTGTCACCAAGTGCAGTAACATTTTAACTCTTATTAAATTATATAAGGAGTTAACCTGCTACTGCACTAAGGTGACTGTTATCTTCCACTGACTGAGAAATGTTTATAACTTTGTGAGTTTTTTGGTTTTTATGAGGATGAAGTTGAAACAAGAGGGCCATGATGGCCCTGAGGTCGCTCACCTGTATATAGCCCCCCCCCCCAGCCAATTTTTACCCAAGGGCTTTTATTTGAACAGACTTGGTAGACACCCATAAGAAGATGTTTCATGCTAAACATCTAAGTTCTAGCTCATTGGGTTTTTTTAAAGAAGATTTTTTAAGTTTTTACTATACACATATAGTTAAAAACAATGACACCCCTGGGGCAGGGCCAGTTTTCACCCCCGGGCTTTTATTTGAACAAACTTTGTAGATATTTACTTAAAGATGGTTCATGTATAATATCTAAACTCAAGCTATTTGGGTTTTTTCAAAGAAGATTTTTAAGTTTTTGCTATACACATATAAGGAAAATCAATGACCCCCAGGGCGGGGCCGGTTTTGACCCCAGGGCTTTTATTTGAACATACTTGGTAGACACCCATTAGAACATGTTTCATGCTAAATATCTTAGCTCTAGCTCTTTGAGTTCTTTAAAAGAAGATTTTTTAAGTTTTTACTATATGCATATAGGGAAAATCAATGACCCCCTGGGGCGGGGCCAATTTTGACCCCAGGGCTTTTATTTGAACAAACTTGGTAGACACTCATTAGAAGATGTTGCATGCTAAATATCTTAGCTCTAGCTCTTTGGGTTCTTTAAAAGAAGATTTTTTAAGTTTTTACTATATGCATAAAGGGAAAATCTATGACCCCCTGGGACGGGGCCAATTTTAACCCCAGGGCTTTTATTTGAACAAACTTGGTAGACATTCACTAGAAGATGTTTCATGCCAAATATCTAAGCTCTAGCTCTTATGGTTCTTTAAAAGAAGATTTTTTAAGTTTTTACTATATGCATAAAGGGAAAATCAATGACCCCCTGGGGCGAGGCCAATTTTGACCCCAGGGCTTTTATTTGAACAAACTTGGTAGACACTCATTAGAAGATGTTTCATGCTAAATATCTTAGCTCTAGCTCTTTGGGTTCTTTAAAGAAGATTTTTTAAGTTTTTACTATATGCATATAGGGAAAATCTATGACCCCCTGGGGCAGGGCCAATTTTGACCTCAGGGCTTTTATTTGAACAAACTTGGTAGACACTCATTAGAAGATGTTGCATGCTAAATATCTTAGCTCTAGCTCATTGGGTTCTTTAAAAGATTTTTTAAGTTTTTACTATATGCATATAGGGAAAATCAATGACCCCCTGGGGCGGGCCCGATTTTGACCCCAGGGCTTTTATTTGAACAAACTTGGTAGACATTCACTAGAAGATGTTTCATGCCAAATATCTAAGCTCTAGCTTTTACAGTTCTTTAAAAGAAGACTTTTTAAGTTTTTACTATATGCATATAGGGAAAATCAATGACCCCCTGGGCCGGGGCCAATTTTGACCCCAGGGCTTTTATTTGAACAAACTTGGTAGACACTCACTAGAAGATGTTTCATGCCAAATATCTTAGCTCTAGCTCTTTGGGTTCTTTAAAAGAAGATTTTTTTAAGTTTTTACTATATGCATATAGGGAAAATCAATGACCCCCTGGGGCGGGGCCAATTTTGACCCTAGGGCTTTTATTTGAACAAACTTGGTAGACACTCATTAGAAGATGTTTCATGCCAAATATCTAAGCTCTAGCTCTTACTGTTCTTTAAAAGAAGATATTTAAAGATTTTTCTTTCGGTTGCCATGGCAACCAGAGTTCTGCATGAAATGGAATTCTTTGAACAATCTTGATAGAGCTTCATACAAAGAGTATTCCTGCCAAGTTTCATAAACATTGGCCTTGCGGTATCATAGAAGATGTCCTTAGAATATTTAAAATGTGGACGGACGACTGACGACGGACGCCATTTGGTTGGCCATCCTAAAAGCTCACCTGCACTTTGTGCAAGGTGAGCTAAAAAGGCAGTGTCAAAAATTTGATCGTTTATAAAATTGAAAATTACACTTTAATAAAATGTGAAGTTTAAAATTGTATAATTATTTAATAAACTAATCTTGGTTTGGTGACCTTTAATTAAACTGTATGCTGAAATTTTCTTATTTTCTTATATAGATGAAGTTGCTCACAGTGATCAATACAAAAGCTTTTGTCATACCTAGCTCATGTTTTCTGTGCTGGAATGCATCTTCTGTTGCAAACAACACTCGTGGAAATCGTATAAACAATTTTGTTCTGTAAACAAGAAAAAGAAATTTTTTATGATTATTATTTTTATCATCTTCATACACTTTCTTGGCCTACAACATGTTGTTCAAAATATAAACTTTTTTTGTTCTATCATAATTTAACTTCCTTTAAGTTGGTAATTTACCTTTCAGTAAGAAACTCAAACCAACATTCCTGAGTTGAAAGGTAAGACACATATACCTAAAAGTTACCATTTCCTTCAAATAAGTTATTATTGCCTCAGTAATCATTATAGCCCTTTACCGTATCATCCCTGACAGTGTTGTTTTTTAAATAATCTAACATATAAGTTTGTCAGTTACCAATTACCATAAAACAAAATTAGCTGAAATTTTAAGATTCTTACTTCCCCATCCTGTAGTCATTGTCCTCGTACTGTAGGTAGGAGACAAGAGTTTGAACACCAACCTTGGCATCACCTGGATAGTTAGGCCATGTAGCTGGACACAAACTTTTGTACCTGAAATTACAAAGTTAAGTAGCTTATCACATTTTGAATAATGGCACAGTTATATCTACTTGAAATATTAACAAAAATAAAATTATCACAATTTGGTAATTAACTCATCTCATTTTAGAATAATGCACACAGTTATATCTACTTGAAATATTAACAAAAATAAAATTATCACATCTGATTCAGATTTCAATCCTGGGTCTTCTAAAACTATTTTGGTAAAAGGCCTCAGACTTAAACTGGGAAAATGTACATGTAGGTGACATTTTGGGAGAAAAACAACAACAACAAAAAACAACAACAAAAAACACACATTAAAACAAACATCATTTTCCCTCAAATATGATTCAAACACAAAACACCTTTAATATGTTGATATTTATGTTAAAGTTCAAATCCTTTGTGAAATTGAGGAGTTGCTGACAGATCAGCATTTTTCATCTACATTTGTATATAAGGGGCATAATTCTACCAGAATTGGTAGAATCACAAACTTCAATGATATATGCTCTAAAGTATTTGATGAGTTTTGGTTAAAATCACCTAAGAAAGGTTGGAGTTGCACACAGAAGGTATCACACGAGATGTCTGCTCATCCACATTCGCCAATCTATTTACCAGAGTTTTCCATTGCGAAACCAGGTTAAATAAGTACAAATGACTAAATTATTCTTTCACATTAAAATTTCATAATACATACCTTTTCAGGAACACTTCATAAGGCCTTCTGTAAGCAAAACCAGCTCTGCGTACCCTCAAATTCTCCATTAGACCGAGGTATTTCACCTGATGGCTCACTATTTTTTCTTCAAACTGGCCTGCACGTTTGTAGTCATTTGGCTTAATACATCTTACATAAGATGGTTCCTTAGTTATCAAAATCTCCATCAACTGGCCCAGACTGTTCTTAAACTGTGTAGCTGCCTATAAAATCAAGAAAAATTAACAGTAAAAAACTCATTCATAATTCCTTCTAGTATGCTAGTTGGATAGCTTTCACACTTGAGCAGGATACAAACCTTTACTTATGAGGAACAAGTGGTTTTAAGTCAGCAACCACTTGGCTTCACAGGACTCTTGCCCTTTTAATATCATATAGAAACTTTATACACTCGAAGAACACTTTAGATGGTACTACATTATTTCAGGTAAGGGCAGGCACCCAAGGATAAAACCCCAACCGGCCATATGCTAGTTGGAAAGCACCTTTAACCATGAAATAATTTTGCTTCCTCATACAATAAGAGCAATCAGTGATGGTACTACAAAGTCATGGCATTAATTCAGGTATTGGGCAGGCACCAAAGGATAGAACCACCAACCTTCCAAATACTAGCTGAATAGCTTCTTTAACCATGAAAGAATTTGACATTCCTGGTTAAAAAAGAACAATCAATTGCAAAGGGTATTGTTAGCATTTTACATGCTTTATCAGGGGTTTTAAATTATGATAACACTTACAGTATCAGGTCTTTTCTTGCTGTTAAGTTCTTCTTTGGGGAAACATTCTTGTGTGATTATGTTTGTTGTCTGACTCATTGCCTGTAATCAGAAAATTAGTTCTAGTATCATCAATAGATCATCAATAGATGATATTGAATGTGTAATGGTTCAATACTGAATTTATTGAATGAGTTAAATGAAATTATATTATGTGAGTCTTTGGGAAGAAAAATATTATCTTATTCAACGAGTTCAATAAATTCAGTAATAAACCTTCATAAATATAATATTCTTTTTATCACATACCTATGTGCCATTCATGTGCCCCCGCTAATAAGCGTGTTTTATTTCTCAAATGGCGCTATGCGCCCTTGCTAAGTTTTATCTATTAAACTTTGCCCCGCTAATAAGTGCGGTTTCGCTCCGTGGCCCCACCATTTGAACTTGTCAATTTTCAACGGGATCGCGGGGCGATAACACGAATGGCACAAATCAGCCATCATACATACCCGAAATAAAGATTGTTAAAAAAAGTATGCAAAAGAATAATTTTTCATGGATGTGCCAATAGTGTTACAGTAAAATTTAGCGTGTCTTTACACTATGATTGTATAACTTAAATGATGTCATGTTAAAATATATGCATGGCCATGCAATACCATATTTACATAGTTACGAAATTGGCAAAGGTATGTGATAATATTATGTAGAATATGAACCTGGTTAACATTCATTCTGGTTTTATTTGTTCATAAAAAGCAATATACGACTGAAACAGAAATATACATAAAAATTATGTACAGTATGAAACTAGGTATTTTACTGACAAGTTTAATTGTACTGAATAAAAAAGTTTTATTTGAGTACAGTACTGGTTCAGAGATTTTTTCAGGTATATTGACAGATTTTGTCGTCAAAAGGTACACCAACTATTTAATCATTTACTGAATAAGAAGTAACAACTTTATTAAATGAGGCTAACACATTACGTTTCCCCGATCTTCCAAGTGGGTCTCAGCATATTCATAACAAATATATACAGCGAACACTTTAAAGAACATATATATATATATATATATATATATACAGAACATCATATAACATGAAAAAGGCATGAAAATCACATATATAAAACATTATTATTTGAAATCAACTAGATCTACTTCTTTTCTGTACAAATAAATTTGTTTGAAATTATACTATTATGTTAAGTGAAAAATACAAACTTCCTTACTCAACATAATAGCTCCACTTGCGGGGAGCCATAATCAGTTAGCCTTTTCCACCAGTATAGAGCCAGGCCAGCCTGCACATCTGTGTTTTCAGCCCTTGCTCTGTACAGTTTGTAGCTCAAATTGTTTGTATTTTGATATTAAAATCCCTTGAACTTTGAATGGGCTGCTCCAATATTAAAAGCATGGCTTATCCACTACAAATATTTAGTAAGTTAATGGTTTCATAATAAATTCAAGGGCTTGTTCTCACCTCTTTGAGATCTCTAAATAGAAGGTCATTGTTTTTATCCAGAAATCCTTTCACATTGTAGGTAACATCACCTGCATAATGCAACAGTCGAAATTCCTGAAATGTTTTTTTTTGTTAGATTTTTAGTTATACTAACACTGTAAAGGGTGTATGGTGACTTTCCAGCTCTTATGTGGAGAGAGATCTCCGCTGCTTTGTGTGCTTTATTTCAGAAACAGGCAGGCACTTGAGAAGAACCACTGACCTCCCTAAGCTTGCGGGATAGCGTCCTCACATGAAAGAATCCAAAGTCACTGATGGGGTTCGAACAAAAAGTCATGAGAGGCAAATGATTTAAAGCTGGCCATATTGTTTACAGAATTGTTTTTATGTACATATGTACTTTATTTCTTACCAAATTTTTTTTATAGGAAAAAGACTAGTTAAATAATACACACTTATTTTTTTCAGGAAAAATTAGAATTTTATCGAAACTGATTCTCTCCTTATTTCAATAGCATGATTTGAAAATATTATAAGGTTTCTTTATTTACATTCTTGCTAACCTTAATAACATTTGTTACTTTGATAATATTGCCAAGCTAAATACTTTAATTGCATTAACAATCTTTGATGACATATGCTATCTTGAAAACAATGGCTTAAAGTTAAGTCCCATTCCAGTAAAATACAGCTACAGTATTTTGAAACACTTTAGAATTGCTAGCTGGGTGGGTTCAAACCCCATTAAAGGCAAGCTGTTGTTTTCTTGAGCAAGACACTTACACTTATTGCTCCTTACTTTAAGAGATTGTTTTAAGTTTATAGTTTCCTACATGATGAAACTAAAATAAATTTTGCATAAACACTTAATGAGGATTATCCTGTTTGTTTTAACAAAAATACAAAATGATTAAATGAAATGATTTAATATTAATCTTACATCTCTCTGAATGGTTTTTCTAGTGGTATTATCCGCCACACTGTGACTGATGAAGTGAGGGTGTTTCCCTATCATCTCTGATAGTTTATCCAGGAAGGTCTGGTCAGTGGTATCCCCGGGTCTCAAACATTCCTCGTCCATCACACAGATCACACCCAGGGGCTTAGACTCGATCAGGTCACAGATGACCTTATTGTTGAAGTACTTGACTGGTTCCCACTGTGGGAGAAATAATATTTACTATATATTATAAGATGGGCTGGTTCCCATTGTGGTAAAATGAAGTATATTAAATAATTATTATCAGACATTTTAATGTAAGACCTCACCCTGTTATCAGTGCTTCATAATAAAACAAGAGCAATGAAAATTATTTCAATGTTCCCAAAAGGAAAAAATTAAGTAAATATCTATGCTAGAGTTTAAACTCTATAAGATAGGTCTTTGCCAGTAATATGTCATTTATGCCAGTAATATGTTATTTATGCCAGTAATATGTAATTTATAATGAGCCTACAGACAAGTTAAATTTCAAGTGAATCCTTTCATCAATTAATGAAATTACAAGCTTAAGCAAGGGTTATGCCACCACACATGTAATAGATATTCTCTCTGAAGTTTTGGAATATATCAGCCAAACTTTTACATTTTCACATTAAGCTGTACAATAACCCTTTTCCTACTAAAACAGAAAATAGGCAGACGGACAGACAGATGAACAGACGATGAAGAAGTGATTCCTATATGTTGGCACTACTTTGAAGCAGGCAACACAAAAATGGTTAATCTTTGCCATCAGTATACATCCAGTCTAGCTTGCACATTCGTTAAGTCTAGAATCATTAGCTCTACACTTTTGTCCGAACAACTTTTTTCATCTGAATGAAAACTGATAATCGACAATTCCAAAATTGGAAACTGGACACGTCCATTTAAGAAACACAGTAGGTAGATGGTCAAAAGGGGAATAATTACCTGTATTCCTTCTCTTTCATATTCCTCTTGTTCAGATTTAAGTGTAAGTTGAATAAATAGCTGCTGCAATTTCTCGTTACAATAGTTTATACAAAACTGCTCAAAACTGAAATGTAAATAATTTCTGTCACTGTGTATTTGGTATACAAACAGTAAATGATACTGAAACTCTTATTTGTTTTATTGTTTACTAAATTCAATTGTAATCTTGCCTACTTTTTATTGCTAGCTTAATAACTTCCTGTCTTTTTTTAATTTTTGCATATAATTGGATGATTTCAAGATCAAGACTAAAACTTTTTGCATATCAGACTGAATTTTCTGTTTTCACATGCTGGAAAATGTCAGAAAGTTGGTTATTCTATGAAGATTTGTCTAAACAAAGCAAAATTTTATAGATAAACATGAACACAATTGTCCGACTTACCAGTTCACTTGAAAGATTTCAAAACCATAAATATCTAGCAGTCCCATCAATGAACACTTCATTCTTGCCTGTGACAAATAAGATCCAAAGTACAATATAAGAAATTAAAAACTGTCATGGGACCTTCATATAAATATTGAGTGTATACAAGAACTTTACAAACAAAAATAAATTAAATCATCAATTTATTAAGGCACAAATTTAAACAGATATAAAAGAGAATCTACCTTTTACTTGTATAGTCATGGTCTCGCAAATAGTTTCCCTTAACTAATACTAAAAAAGTAGCAGTCTAGCAAATTTCTTTCTTTTAGAAGTCAGCGATTCTCTCTTGTCTAAATGTAAATACCTTTACAAAGTTATGATACATTGAATTACAAACAAAATGTAAGACCCTGGATAAGTACATCCTGAGTATAGTACATACCCTATGAGAGAGGGAGGCATTCACTTTATGTACTATCCATGTGAAAAGTCTGTCATAAATTCCTTTAGCTAAGGCGTCTCGTGCATACAGGGCTTGATCCACTGTCAGTGGAGATTTCATCTGTGTGTGGAACATTTAAATTACATGATTATTATATTGTATTATATTAAATTAGGAAAGTAATAGCTAAGAAAATAAAAAAATGCAAATACATATATTGCCATTATAACTTTACTTCAGGACAGGGTCTGCTTAGTAATGTTGAAAATAAAATGTAAGGTGGAAGAAAAATGTTCTTTGCAATTATGACTATTACAAAATCAGAGAAAACACTTAGTTTATCTAAAAAAACTAAGTTGTGAATGATGTCCTTATCAAAATATATACATGTTTATTCAAGAGATTTTGTATTAAAATTTCAAAAAACTGAGGTTTGAACTGATTTTATATTGACTTACAATGGTAAACATATTGGCCAATTCTCCAGTAAAAATACCTTTTTTTAGGTATAAAGGACCAGAATTCAATACATGTATTTGACACTAAACAGGTTTCTCATCTATACCAAATTTTGTTACAATCTATCAAACCAAATCCAAGATATAGGTCCAGAAAGTAGAACAGACGGACTTACTAACCCCTTTTGATAAGGATGTTATCAGAAAGGGATAATAAAGTACAATTTTACAGACCTTTTCACCTTTTGCTTCTATAGTTCTGTTTTGTAAGGCTGATAGGAGAGCATCCTCTTTGCATCCCAATAACTGAAAAATGAGCAAAAGTTATAGTAGAAAATATAATAATTCTATAATGTCTTTCTAGTACCAATTGAATACATAGCATTATACCAGTACAAAAAGAAACACCATCAAACATTGAATTTCTAAATAATTTTTTATTGACAATGGCTCATGATATAACAAGGGAAGTAACTGTGTAACAATAAGTATACTTGTACCAAACTACATATTCCTGAATTGGTCAACAATTATTGAAGCTATATACATGAACCTCATTCTGAACAGATCTTTTAAATGAGGATTCTATGAAAACAATCTGCTAAAGCTTCATAACTTAATATGGTAATTCAATTAAAATTTCCAGAGGCATTTATACCTTTGAAATACAGAGTGCATTTTGCACAAAATCTGAAAAAGCAAACAATGAAACAATTTGCATTGAAGCAAAACTTCATTGTTGTTTTAATCACTATAGCAACATCGGGTAACATTTAAATATATATACCTAAAATATTAAGTAATTAGGCTTTTACACATTATTTTGAACATCCCATTTAATTTTAACCTTTAACCTGCTGAATTTTCCAATTTCCATTTTGGAACAGTTCATTATCAATTTAAGGTATATAAAGTTGAGAATTTGAAATTGGCCAGCGAACAATATAGAGCCTGGTCCAAGACTGCTGGCCTGGCTCTATACTGGTGGCAAAGACTAATCACTTTCGCCTTCAGCAGGGTTTTGTTTGTTTGTTTGTTTAATTGGGATTTACGTCATACTGACACTGTATAGGTCAAATGGCGACGTTCCAGCGTTACTGTAGAGGAAGACCTCACCACTTGGCCACAGACGCCCCCTTCAGCAGGGTAAATGTTAATATGATTCAATTTAATGGTCCATACTTACATCAGAAATGACATCAACATGTTCTATATTGGTCACTTTAGCATCATCTTTGGGTTCCTCCGTGCCAAACTCTACATTACCCAGGTGTAACACACTTGCAACAATAGCAAATAAGGCCTGAAATAGAAAACCAATTATAAAATCCTGCATAAAATATTGAAATATCTGAATTTCTTCACAAAAGTAGTTCAGTAACAGGACCCTAGAAGCAAGGAATAACAAAAGGTGCCTATACCAAGTTATATACCATGTGACTTTTGTTATCTTTGTGTTGCAGAAAAAACAAAACAAGACAATTCAGGTTTTACAAATGTATTTTAATGGTGCAGAACCCTCAATCCAGAGATCGGAGACAAAAGCTAATAGAATAATATTTTATAACCTCAAGTGGATTTGAAAGTGATTTTGATAACCCAGACAGATTTGTCCCAATCTAACTAAATAAAAAATAATTTAACTGTTATATAAAATATATAAAAAAAAACCTGCTTGCTATTAAGCAGTATGTAGTGAGGCAAAGAACAAAGAAGCGAGTTGAGGTTTGGACTATGGATCAGGCAACCCAGGTTCAATTCCTAGATGGCACAGGTCACATTTGTTGTGATTTATCATTAAATCTTTTCTATGGTCATTTGCACTGATCCGATGTGAAAATTACCAACATCATCACCACCAAAGAACTAAGATAAATTGTTTATACCTTCTGTTGTTCCTGTGTAAAGTCCAGGACATCAAGACTATGTTGTACGTGCCTCCAGTTGGCCTGATCATCCATAGTCTGTAACACACTACTGTCACCCTGTAACACAAAACAAATGTGTCCCCAAAAATCACTAATTACATATTATATTTAAATATTTTTAGAATTTTTTAAAGAACTCAACAATTATTATGTTGTAAAAATTTTTTTTTTACAAACAAAAGCTTGTGGTAAAAAATTAGTATAGTCTGTAAGTAATGTTTTTATTTATTTTGACTTCATTGGCCATCTCAGTATCTTCCTTGCAGGCTTCATCATTACAAATAAGTTTATAAAGAATACATTTTATAGTTTGATTGTGTAGGAAGCTATATGCTTCTCGAATCTGTTCCTGGAAACAACCAGTACAAAGCAGTGAGTGATAAGTTTCTTGTTCAATGAAACACCGGTTTGTCCCCCCCCCCCATCCCCCCCTCCCCCCCCCCTGATAGGATTGGACCAATGCAGATAGTTGACCCTTAGGTTACCAGTCTGACATGTTAATTAAACTACATAACAAATTTTAATTTGTTAGAATGTTCCATAATATGATGTAAATCTGTAAATTAAGACATGAACTTGAAAATTTTCGGAAAAATCATAATTATTGTTCTTTCCCTTCTTTTTTTTTTCATAGGTGCTGGAATGGTACAAAGAATCATTTTGTGTTGCAATTTGAAGGAATTCAAAGAATTAAAACAAAAAAACTTTTTGTAGAATAAAAATGTGACTTGTGCATTAATATTGGCTTATTTTCTCAAAACAACTTTCACAGCTAGCGATTATTCTATGCTTATCAGTAGGGACAGACCTAGACTCCATACAGTGGATTGCTATATTCATTACATGAATAATGGACTTAAATAATTTAAAGGTAACAACAGGATTGTTCTTAATTCAAAGCAAGGTAGTTTCCCAAGCAGGAAGTTCAAGGTATAGAGTGGTGTTCTCCAGTGTACTAGAGTAATTTATACATTTATCAATATGTATATTCATCAAAGTGAAAATGATAAACAATTACAGACAAATTTTAATAGTATACGCTGTTACATCTTTGCATTAAAGAACATAACTGTGAGTTCTTTAAAGATTAGGTAAATGATTAAAAACAATTACATTTGATTCAATCCGCCATGTTTTATAGGTGACGCTACTTATGCAAATTAACACATTGAGTTTAAAGTGATATTGGAGGGGACTCCGCACCTGTGATCAGTATTATTACATCTACAAAATAAATTTCTTTTAATTAAGCCCTTACACTTTTGAATTTGTCCTTTAACTAAATTGTCCCTTTACTCTGCTAAATTGGTCCCCTTACTCTGCTAAATTTGACCCTTTACACTGCTAAATTTGTCCCTTTACTCTTCTTAATTTGTCCCTTTACTCTGCTAAATGTGACCCCTTACTCGCCTAAATTGTCCCCTTACTCCACTAAATTTGTCCCTTTACTCTGCTTTATTTGTCCCTCTACACTGCTTAATTTCTTGCCTGAATCTGCTAAATTCGTCCAATTACTCTGCTAAATGTGTCCCTTTACTAAAATTGCAATTGATTCATAATTGACCATCTTAAGTCTCAGAGCTGTCAAAAGTTTGTAAATAAAATTTATGCCCCCACCAACAGTTTTATAAGAACCCGGTCACACAGTCTTGAAATGTGTATTGATGACATCTTAACACGTCAATTTTTCTGTAAGAACGTCAAGGGCTAATAACATACCTGATTTAGATAAAAGTATTTATCTGGTTCAGAAGACAGTTTCAGCTGTTTCAACATGATTGGGGTAGCTCCAACGAGCATCTGATAGAAGATGTGGAAATTTCTCTCCCCATTGGCCTGGTGAATCACTCGAGACTTCTCCAATAAATAATTTAGAATGTGACCTCCGACAGGAGCACCCTGCAATGTAAAACATTAGTATGTGACATTTTCATATCAGGGTTTTCTTCTAGTTTGTAAATGGGTCGGTCCCGTGTCCTTTGAATTGTTAAGAACAGTGTGGTAAGGACATGTTCCTATTTTGTACTGTAAAAATTTAGCTTTTTGATCGGAATTTCTTTTAAATACTGTGTTGGAAAACACCTTCTTCGAACATAGTTTAATATCTCTATTTCTTATGAATTGAAGTCATTGACAATAATCTTATTGTGAATTTTCATAAAACAATTGTGAATAAAACATACTTTTTTGGCTTTTTGAATAGGGTCCTTATTCGGCCCAATAACTGTGTGTAAAAAAAATGACCTACGTACGCAAATAAAGAGCAATTAAGGTCATTTTTTTCGCTACTGAATTTGTGTTAATCATCATTTTACACATTTTACACTCCTAAGTAAATAACAAAATAAATTCATAAATATATGTGGTGTAAACATAAAAAGTTAGGCAAGCTAAAGATACAAATAATTTGTATACCTTATAATCAAACTGGATGTCCATGTACTTTCCAAATCTACTGGAATTATCATTTCTGGTTGTTTTGGCATTTCCAAAAGCCTGAAGAAGGAAAACAAAAGAAAACACAATAATGAGGTCTTATAGCAGTAACAGTTATTTAAAATAAAAGTTTAATAACTATCTTTATATTTAGGAATAATAATATTTGTCATGTTGCCATTCAGATGGGAAGTAGCAAGGCTTGCATGGTAATCGCCCATGAGCGTATTCCCAAGGAACGGATCTCCTGATCCAAACCGCAAACATATGTCAGGTATATTTTCTTGCATATTCTACCATATTCCATTATATTTTAAACTATTTAACTTAATAAAACAATTTTCCATTGAAATTTATGTCATTACACCAGTAACTACATTATTTTCTTACATCAGCCTATGAAATAACAACTTCATTCATAATGATAAAATAACATCATCCTAAGCATGCCATTGTACAGCATGTGACACATCTGGTACCCCCCCATGCCAGATTAAATTTCTGGCATGGGTAAAAGTAACAGAAACGCCAGTCTGATATGCAAGAATAATAATATCTGCCATTTATTATGGAAAGTATCTATCTAAAACAATTAAGACAGACATTTATAATTTATCAATTACCAATTTGCATGAATTTTTTATCACACAGTGCATTCTACTTTGCTTCACAATATTCTATATTTCACTCTGTTTTAATCAGTGTGATATGCCTTACATATGATATATTTTCAAATTACGGTAGTATATATCAACCTAAAGAGTAAGATAAATTATATCATCAACTTATTAGTGCAATAACGGGTAAAATCCTTATATAATCTAATAGGCGTTAACACGTAACTGAACAAAGGTGATGATTATGTACATTGCTATGCCTTGACTTAAGCTATCACAGTTTTGAAATTTTACCTCAAGTAGTGGGTTTGACTCTAGCAGCCTATCTTTAACTCGTTCAACATCTTTCGTATCTTTACTACTAGCGGCTATATAATGAAGGATCTTCTTCGATGCTTCTGTCTTCCCAGCGCCACTCTCTCCGGAGATCAGTATACATTGGTCCCGGTTTTCACCTCGCATAGATCTATACGAGGCATCAGCAATTGCAAACCTGAAAACCGAAATTAAATCTCGGGTTCAAGTTATTTAAAAACAGGACTTATTTAAACTAAAATTTATTTAAACTTGATTGTGCTAGGTAGACTCTTTTCAACTACAGTAAGATTTTAACCTGGCTACCAGTCATAAAGAAACCCCTGATATTACAGGTTCATGGTTAGTAACAAGAGCTGTCGGTAGGACAGTGACTCACAGTGCTCTACTACTTTTAGAGCTGAAAGTCAAACAAGAGCCTGGATAACATAGAATTTTCTAAGTTCAAAAAGTTGCCATTACTGTGTAAAAACCCAAGTTAGGGTTACAGGCCTTCGATAATGACCTCCTATTATGCTCTCAAATAAATATGTAAAGTTTCAACTTGTTCCCTTATGTAGTTATGGAGATACCAGCTTACAAACAAAAACTTTACTAATGCGTGTTGATGCCTGGGTGAGTACAATAGTTCTCCCTTTTTTTCTAATATTTGAGTTAAAAATATAGTCATGACTTTTCTCAAGAAGCTTCATTTTCATGAAGAAAAATCATTTCATAAGGAAGGTAATACCCTTTGCATATTGACATTAAAGTAAAATGTACGTTTGACTGCAAACAAAATAACCTCAAGGACGATAGGATAAAAAAAAATCTCCAAATTACTGAGTGTTTTCATATGCATGAATAACTATGATGTTTAGATTATGATTAATCAAATCATCACAAAATCATCATTTCATTTCATTTCATTACATCAGCATTTCCTCAACCAATTCAATATAAGGGCTCATTTTTCACTCCCATTTAACTTCCAGTCTATACAATGAGATGTATTGATGAAGCCTGGTAAATTAATCAAAGTATTTGTTTCATCCGTAAAACATATATTATCTAGCTGAAACCAGTTTCAATCAGTCACATGATGTTTCCGATGTTTCATGGTAACGAAACCATTCCATTCTTGATCATTGGAAAATTGCACTTGAATTACATTGTACTACTATAGATAAAAGTCATTTTGCTATTGTACTGACTTTAGATATACTATACTATATCCACAAGGACAATAGAAACTAATCATGGTAATGGAATTCATTAAAACAATGAGATGAAGGGCGTTACAAATATGTTTCAAGTATATCCTAGTGATAGTATAATGTAGTCACTCTTTTGGGAAATTGTGTCCTGTTCAGTCCTCTCAAATGAAAGATTTTTTTTATTATTATTGTTTATTTATTTTTTTTTTTTTTTTGAAATTTGGTAAATTGGGATAAAATAACAATGCAACAATATTCCTTTTGAGAATTTAGAATAATCATTTACATTATTTTGGAAAAAAAGAACAAATCATTGAACAGTCGAACAAGAACAATCTCGGGGGGGAAAAAAACGGTAGCAATCAATCTTTAAAGGGGTTGCTGTGCTTTGGTCATGATGCAAGATCCAGCTTGCTTTGCTGAGAGGAAGACCTCAAATGTCCCTTTCTGCATTGTTCAAGGCCATAGACAGGCACTTGTGTTATAGTAAAAGCACTGCATGCAGTGTTAACACTAATCTGTTAAAAATTCTAAAGCAAAAAGGGGTATTACTCCAAACATATTGCTTATTATGCCCCTTGTCTAACAACTGCATCTTGTCATGATATAGGTAATTATTCCAAGCTTCATGTTGATAAGTTTTGAAATGTTTGAATAATGGCCAACTACGCCATAGCAATCATAATGGCTTGACTTTTTCTTCGTAACAGACAAGCCAAAAGCCACACAGCTTCCTCACATAATTCCTTAGGAAGATTTTTAACCCACATTGGTAAGGTCCTAGTGATGTAGGTTATTAAGTAAACTTTAACCTAAAGAAAATACTTAATGTTTCTGAAACCATAGCCATAGTCCCAAATCTTTATACCCTTAACCTGCTCAGGCAGCAACAGATTCTATCCATGTGACCATGTCCGGACCATGATCAGCCAACACATATATGCTGTTTGCTATTCAGTCAGTATATCTTTTGAAATGTTCCTTTGAAATGATAAATGGTTTTGTCTATATTGAAAGAAGGAGAAGTCCATTTAAGATGAAGTCAGCTGCTTAAACAGGATATACTTTACTTATATATAGCACAATGTGCATTTTTTGTTACAATTAAAATAAGAAGTTTACGATAAAATGCATGATAAAATTTGATGCAGTATTTAATAGCAAGATGAGTTTGCAAAATACATAATAATATCATTATAAAAAGGGAAATGAGTCAATGTAACAAGATCACATAATAACATTGTATACAACTCATATAAAGTCTCAAATTATTGTCAGTTACAAGGTATACTTGGAAACAGGTATATAAAGGGGAAATTGTTAACATTCACTCTAAAGTAATATGTATGTGGCAAATACTTGTTTTTAAACCATTTGATATAGCTTTAGTAATATCTAAAGTGTATGCCAAATATTTATATGAATCTACTTTTGGAAAGCCATAAATTTTTTTAAACTTTTGATAAGCTAATACAGTATGTATCAAAATAAACATTATAAATATTCTTAAAGGAGCTCCACTGACATCCAAAAGCCTAAAAACATAACATTTGAAAGTCTTACATCAATCAACTGGGACATTAAGAATGGAAAAATATTCAAACAATAATAAAAAAAACAAGATTGCATTTGAGAAAAATGCTATGCCACCGCATTAATGCAACACTAAATTGTAGTGTAGGAACAGATATTTTTTGTTTCTATACAATTGAAGATTGTCATAATGCATAGATCCCTGACCTATCTCATTCTTATTATCAGATTAGTGGTTAAATCTATTGTTAACTCAATAAAGATCAGAGTAGGAATATATCAATGCACTTGAGTCTAGTCAATTTGGTGGTGAAGGTCATATTTCACACAGCCTAAATTTCATGACTGCATCAAAGGACAACACAGTAAGACACTTTGTCAAAATCTAGGTCAGCTGATATCAAAGTTCACTTTTAACTTTGACACTTGAGGCAAAATTTGAACAACTTTGGTAGAGTACCTATAGATGATATCATTTAACAAATATTAAAGCTCTAAGCCTTGTACCTTCAGACAATAAGATTTTTTTATTTTTTACTATATGTATATATTGAAAATCAATGACCCCGGGCGGGGGCAATTTTGACCCCCAGGGCTATTATTTGAACAATCTTGCTAGAGGTTCACTTCACAATGTTTCATGCAAAATATCTAACCTCTAGTATTTGTCAATTGCTAGAAGAAATTTTTTTAAAGTTTTTACTATAAGTTTTTACTATGTAAATATGAGGAAAATCAATGACCCCCGGGCGGGGCCGATTTTGACCCCAGGACTATAATTTGAACAATCTGGGTAGAGGTCTACCTGACATTGCCTTATGCAAAATATCTAAGCTCTAGGCCTTTTGGGTCTTTACAAGAAGGTATTTTAAGAATTTTTACTATATGTACATATAGTGAAAATCAATGACCCCCCGGGCGGGGCTGATTTTGACCCCCGGGATATAATTTGAACAATCTTGGTAAGGGTCTACCAAACAATGCCTTATACAAAATATCTAAGCTCTAGGCCTTTTGGGTCTTTACAAGAAGGTATTTTAAGTTTTTACTATATGTACATATAGTGAAAATCAATGACCCCCGGGGCGGGGCCGATTTGACCCCAGGGCTATAATTTGAACAATCTTGGTAGAGGTCTACCAGACAATGCCTTATGCAAAATATCTAAGCTCTAGGCCTTTTGGGTCTTTGCAAGAAGATTTTTTAAATTTATTCTTATAATTCCTTTTGGTTGCCATGGCAACCAGATTTCTGCATGGAATTAAATTCTTTGAACAACTTTGGAAGCCCTTCACCCAAGGATCAATCCTGCCAAGTTTGGTTGAAATTGGACTAGTGGTTTTTCACAAGAAGATTTTTTAAGTTCACTATATAATCTATATAACACACAAACAAACAAACACACACACACACAGGTGAATCGCTATATGCCACCGCATCGCAGATGCTGCGGTGGCATAAAAATACCTTTAGAATTAGATTGAAATTTTATTTTTTGTGCGATTCTTAAAAACTTTTCATTTTTATGGTAAATTTTTTCATTTTCTGGAAAAATGGAGTGAATGAATGATACGGAATTTTGCACAAAAGTTATTGGATCAGACGTACATAAAATCTCAAAAAAATATTTCAGGTCCCTGTTGTGTCAAAGAAACTTGAGTGGAGTTCCTTTAATATACACGGTATACATGTTAACTATTACAAGAGATCATGTTTTAATGGTATGTTTACATATCAATTATAGTACTTAAACCCACATACAACTGAGGAATTTGAGAGGCAGCTACTTGACTTTTACTATCTTTATTTTACAAACTGATACTGTTAGTTTGTGGTATATGTTACATTATACATTTTTTGTTGTATATTTATTAGCTGTCAAGTAACCAAAATTACTAAACTATTTCCATTAATTCAACGTTTTTATATACTTTGTACAAATTGAATTGTCTGGTTTAAAGTAGCATGCCTCCAGATTTTGTTAATTACATGTACGTATATAAAAAATCTGATTTTTTTTTATGATTTTGGGTAATTTCTTTATATTTTTAATTTCTTTAAAAAAAAAAAAAAAAGTTTTCAAGTGTAAAAATTAAGGGATTAAACCTCATCCAATGCACCTAACTGCTTATTTATATAACTTTTCATTAAGACTGATACTTTGACAATTTTCGTAACTCATCTGGAGGCATGTAGCTCTAATTTAAATATCATAACATTCACTGTATCTTCCAACCATAAACTAATAGTTTTCAAATCATTATAAAATGGTCTGCTGATTTAATCAAAGGATAGACTTTATAGCTTGGGTAAAAATTATATTAAGTGGATACATGTATTTTAATGTGCCAAAAAGTTCACGAAACCATTTTTTCATAATTTGATTTTTTTATGAACTTAAAAGAAACACCCAACATTTCTATGTTGCAAACTTGACCACTTAAACAGTATATATGCTAAAGTAGAAATTCATTCTATACAATATAACTTGTTCCATGTCACTTTTACTCTGCTAAATTATAGTAATTGACTTGATTTTCAAACTCATTAAATAGATATTTAATTGTCATCTGTAACATTAAATATGTTAACTGTTTTTAAATGAATTGCATAAAATTATCATCATTAACCTTTTTCAACGCTATATTTCTTAAATGGACTTGTCCATCTTTTAATCTGGACTAACACATTAATCAATTTTAGGGGATATTTCAAATAATATAGTGAACAGTGCAGTCCATGATTCAGACAGCAAGGACGTGCCAGCTGATCTTGGTCTGTACTGGTCGCGTGGGTGGATTATGTTGATGCCAACAGGCTAATAGGGTATTAACAAGAGTTACTTTTGATTTCAATAGAAGTAAAAAAATATTTCGACCAGAATTAAATGCTTTCACCCCCAGGAGGAACTTGGGAATAGATGTAAAATTAATGTTGAATGTTCTTAGATCAAACAAACTTTATCAACTATTATACATATAATTAATTACATAATTACAAATGTAACAGTTGTTAATTTATATAATTTCAATCATTTCCAAATAAACTGAGCATTATGTTAACATGGCTTTAACTTCTGATTTTTAAAAGAAGTAACAGAATAGTTTCACAATAACACTGTCAGCAATGAAAAAAATATTTTCATTATTCCGAATTACTTGCAAAATCAATCTCTTGTCTTTCAAACATTATAACTAATATAGTATATATATATATAGCAAAACTCATCTTTCAGTGATGTCATGATAATTTTATTATGATATGTTTTCAAGTAGGGTTAAAAGAATGCTGATTTACTTTCATTGCATGCGTAATCAGTTTTTTTTATGGTGCAAACCGGATGCATCTTAAGTTTCACAAAACATTGGTAGTACTATGACCTATAACTTCTTGACAAATGTTAATTTACAGAATCCATTTGAGTATACATACTAAATATATGCATAAAACTTTTGAGAATTTTAATTTTGATAAAAAAACATGAACTGTAGATAGGACAGCATGCTCAACTATTTTCTCAGTAACAAAAGCCTGGATGTTGAATTTTCAAGGGCCATAATTTTGTGATAAATCCATATTAGAGTTATGGGCCTTGGATAGTGACCCCCAGGCTCCTATTACGCTCTAAAATATATGCATAAAGTTTCCAAACATTACAAGCATAGCTTTTAATAATATCAATATTCATACAAAATGTTTATATAATTATACAGATTATATACAAACAAGATATAAACAACCTGTCACATACTTGGATTACAGGATTATCTCCCATGTATGAATCATAATCTTCCTTGCATTTTACAACAAACTGTTGCATCAGAGCAAGAATGATGTAACTGCATTTTCAATAAAGATACAGATAAAATTGTCTGCTGCTGCAGAAATAGGAGATAATCTTCTTATACCATGCCTGCAACAGATGTTTCTCTTCATAATCAGCTTACATTATACATGTAAGAAAATCATAAATCTCCAACTTTCCATGAAAATAATATTCACTTTTATCTTTTTTAGTTTTTTTGCCCTCATTTTTTTTTTCATGGAATATAAAATGCAACTTTCCAGTCTGACAGCCGAAAGCAGAAAGTTTTGATTTTTTTACATGCAGAAATAAAACCAGTATCACGTATGCATGATTCATGATGCTATTTTGTTGAAATGAAAGACTATAGGAATTTTTCCAAGTAATTTAAAGAATGTAATCACTATCTAAACATGTTCAACCTGTTTTCACAGAGGGAAGCATTATGTATGGGTAAGAGTTCGTATTAAGACGACCGTAGGGAGTCTTATCGGACTCTTACCCATATAACTGAAATCGGCTCTTACAACTCGATATCAGATAAAAATATAGAAAGTGTCACCTCTTTAATTAAGCATGACATTATTTTTCCCCAGCAGTCACGTACAAACAAGGATGGGGTCCAATTACTTAATCTGGCATGTAAAAACAATGAGTTTTCAACAATACCTAGTATTTTTGATGCAATTCATTCCTGTCATATGAAACAAAATAATGTTTTGCTTACTTTTTTCTAGAAAATATAAAACAGTCAGCAATTAATAATTGACATTTTTCATAGAGTTTAAAGGATATCAAAAGGTTACTGTGTTCACATTTGTCTCTGCGAGCTGAGCTCCACGTGCATTATCTATGTTATAAATTTGAATGTATCCTCACATTGCTACAGTGTTATCAGCCTTTTTAGAAACACCTGACCTGGCTAATTAAAATATGCCAATCACAATTTTCAATATCAGCACTGGTCTCTTCATGAAATAGCGGCTACACTAATTACTGCCGAGTAAGAGCCGATTTGCAGTTATAAAAAGAAAACATGTTTGTTTCTGGTCATGCTGATTGATACAGGCAAGTTTAAATATTACAGTAGAATATTAAGAATCAGGAAGTCAGAGTTAGACAGGGAATAATTTTAGTGCTTGTGGACTTAAATAGATTTGTAGAGATTTTTAAACCTATACAAAGGTTGAAGTTTGCTCTATATGTAGAAAGAAATATGTTTTACTAAGATACATAGATTTATAAATATGTGTACTTACACATGGGGAGGTAACTCATAGAAGTTGACATTCTTGTAACTTTTCATGACCTCAGCATTATATATGTCCAGTTCATGGTAGGGGTTAACTGATACCAATACTGGTCCAATGTATGTCTGAAATATGGAAACATATAAACAAAATAAACAAATGAAGATAACAATCTTGTAAGAGAAACTAGAACAGCCACTAGCTGCCATGGCGTGAATACCCACACATACCACTTTATCAGAATCACCAGTGGCCATTTAGAGCTCAAGCACAACCTCCCTGCCAAATCTGAGGGTAGTAAGCTAAGTGCATTGCTAAGTTCTGTATTCTAAATTCTTCAAATGTGAAAAAGTCAAAATCAATACACTGCGGACAGGCATTCTTAAGTATTTGAGCAGACAAGCTTATTGTAGTAAAAGCCCCTGTGACCTTGACCTTTGACACAGTCACCTACTAGTCATTTACTAGTCATAAACAACATCAATACCAAATATGAAGACTGATGACCAAAGCATTCTTAAGCAATTGCGCAGACAAGTTTTTTTCAATCAAGGCCCCTGTGACCTTTCACCCAGTGATCTAAAAATCAATAGGGGTCACCTTACGGTCATGAACAACCTCCATGCCAAATATGAAGACTGTGGGTCAAAGGATTCTTAAGTTATTGGTCAGACAAACTTTTTGAACTAAAGGCCCCTGTGACCTTGACCCAGCGACCTCAAAATTAAAAGGATCATCTAATGGTCATGACTAACCTCCATGCCAAAGACTGTTGGTCAAAAGGATTCTTAAGTTATTGGGCAGAGAAGTTTTTTAGTCAAAACCCTTCTGACCTTGACCTAGTGACTTTAAAATCAATAGTGGTCATCTACTGGTCATAACCAACCTCAATGCCAAATATGAAGACTGTTGACCAAAGCATTCTTAAGCAATTGAGCGGACAAGCTTTTTGAACTTAAGGCCCCTGTGACCTTGACCCAGTGACCTCAAAATCTATATTGGTCATCTAATAATCATGATTAACCTCCATGCTAAATATGAAGACTGTGGGTCAAAGGATTCTTAAGTTATTGGGCAGACAAGGTTTCTTTAGTCAATTCCTCTGTGCCCTTGATCTTTGACCAATTGACCTCAAATTCGATATGGGTCATCTACTAATCATGACTAACCTCCTTGCAAAATATGAAGATTGTTGGTCACAGGAATCTTAAGTTATTGGGAGGACAAGCTTTTTATAGTCAAGGCCCCTGCGACCTTGATCTTTGACCCAGTGACCTCAAAATGAATAGGGTCATCTACTAATCATGATTAACCTCCATGCCAAAAATGAAGACTGTGGGTCCGAGGAATCTTAAGTTATTGGGCGGACAAGGAAAAACTGACGGACGACTGAACACCCTATTCCAGTATACCCCCGTTACAACTTTGTTGTGCGGGGGTATAAAAACATTCTTAAGTAATTCTTCAATAGTGTGATCTTTCAATTAAAACTAAAATGACATACATATAATGGCTTATCATTACTTTTGTCATTACCCTTCATCTTTTGCACGAGTCAGCTTTTACCTGGACAACCATCCTAACCATGGGAAAAGCAAAGGACAATGATTTTTGGAATGCCAAACCTCTGGTAAAGGTCCGCGCAGTTTAATTTTCATACAAGGAATGCATCTACCGGTAATAACACATGTTTTACATAGGAAACTAAAATTTCCAAAATGAATTATTTTACAGTTAAAGTGTTAACTTTTTGTCAGCTAGTGGCAAAAGATTCTAGCCATGTGAACATTGCTGACCAAGACCTGCTGCCATATCTGTGCCATCTGATCATGGTCTGCACTGCTTGCTATTCAGTCCCTATATTGTTGATATTATCCCTTCAATTAGCAGGGATCATTCTAGGGCGCGATTTCCGCGATATCTCGCAAAAAAATCACCAAAATCTCATAGAAATTTGTGAAATGAGAGAAAATCTCGCACGGCAATTTGAGCCGGAAAATGTCTAATCACAATCAAAAGAATGCTAAAGTTACACAAAAATATGATGAAAAATTCACGATTCCCATCAAGAATTTAATTTCAAATTGTTTGTTAATGAAATCGGTGTAAAAAAACTCCATAAAGTAGTCCAACACTTTGAATTATTTAGCCTAATAATTGCCGATCGGAGACCGCAAATTCACCGTACGGTATGATGGCTAACCTTTATCTATCTGTAAGTCGAGAATTTACATAAAACACTTTTAATTGATTTTAATAAAAATTGTTAGACACAGACTAACATAAAAATGGACATGTAAAAAACAAATACCGGTAAAATTTGTCTTCTAAATGTAACATCAACCACGGTAAATTTTGCCGTAAAGAACAAATTAAAAAAATTTGTTTTACGATTCCTGATGAAATAGACGATAATGAATATTCTTTTATTGAACAAAAATATTTAATTTTATATTATTGCAATCAGCAATAGCTAGAATTGTGAATGTTTCAGCAGAAAAAAGACAAATATTCATTTGTCACATATTTTCGCGATGTCGTGATTAAAAAAAAAATACTAAAAGGAAGCTGAGTGTTATTTAAAGGTGTTTTATAACACTAAAAATGATGTTTATGAATAAAAATTACTTTAGGTTTACATTGTTTATATTTGTGGATATGGAGATATTTGTCATTATGTGTTCAGGTCACATATTCAATGAATATCTTTTTAATGGAGGGAGGTGTATGAAGAGAATCATAAAGAAAACAAAATGTAAGGTTATAAAAAATATTCTTCAAATCTCAACAATAACTTCTGTACAGTACAGTGTTGTCCAGCAAATAATAGTTGTAGTAGATATCCATGTATAATTCTTTTAAATTTCAGAATAAAAGTGTTTATTATATTTATTTTTCACAACTAGAATTTTATTGTGTTTAAAAATTCACAAAAGAAAAGACATAGGATGTGTTAAAAAAGTGAAAACAAAAATCACTGTAATAAACAGTCTTGAGCTACATCTTCTTATATCCTCATTAGATAAACAATGTTTATATGTACAGTGATTTTAAAAAGTTAGAAATTTCTATATTTTTAACCTCGCCCATCATGTAAATTAAATCTCTCAAGGAAATCTAATTTCTCTCATTAAAATTTCTCAAATGAGAGAAAATCTCTCACTAAAAATCCTGACCAGAATGATCCCTGAATTAGGAATGGTTTTGTCCAGATTGAAAGATATTGAGCATGGTTAATTTATGACTAATTAAGATATAAAACCAACCTGAAACCAAACTTGAACAAGAAATACATTATACAGGTAGTTAATCAAAAATCTGTTATGTAAATTATTGAAAATGTAATCAAATTACAAATCATCCTCTTACAAATCAAGCACTATGTCACGCTTGTACCTTATACACTTTCATGATGTTAAAAATGCATTTTTTTGGGCTATCTATGTAATTTCAAAAAAGATCAGGAGAGTAGACAAAGAAAATCCTATAATTTTAATGTCTTAATTTATCTCATTTCAAACACTGGAAAAGAATTTTAATCAGTTTTATTTGAAGTATAATGAGCAGAAATTCTTAAAATAAAGAAAGCTATTAAAATGGTGCCAGTAGCTAACATTGGTGCCAGTATCCATCAATCTCATGGCATGCATACATGCAGCTGCATACATTTTTTTTAAAAATACAGACAGCATCAATGGGTTTTTTTACAAGTCTTTTTTCCTTCTTCTTACAAGTGTTTTTTGTGTAAATAAAATTTAATGAAATAAGATATTTGTACTATCTAAAAACAGCTCTTTAGTGATCCTCAGACTTTGATACAAAGTAATAGAAACACTTGATTAGTTAAACTGCCTCCCCGATAAATGGCTTCTCAAGTGCATAAACATGACAATGTTATTGTGTCATAAGTTGGTCTTAGTCATATAGGAAGAGAATGCCAGGGGGTGCGGCTTGTAGGGTGGTTGTGCAGCACCCTTTCCAAATTCTTGCCCATGGAGACTCTAGGCCCCAAATTTGCCAAAAAAAATTCCCCACAACAATGATTTAATTTTATATACAGCCTTAAACTGGCCAAACAACAAGCAAAAATTAATCAGTGATTTTTCTCACTTAATTGGGAAGAGGCCTAAGCCTCTTGATTTTGGGAAAAATTATCGCTAAAATTGCTGATTTGGGAAGTGAAAAAGCTGGTTTAAGTTCAGATTTTTGGGAAAACTGCATGATTTTAAAGAAAATTTCAATTGGGAAGATGCCTTTTTTCTAGTCTGTTTTATAAGTAGAAAAATCACTTTAAATTAATTCTAATTTTTTTTTACATCAAGGCTATCCAAATCCATTCCACCACACTATACAGGATAAGTTTTATGAATATCAGTGGCACATTGAACAGCTCAGACATTATAACACAAACTTACATAGATAAGGTCTTCCTGGAACCGTTTCCGGAGATTCTCGACAAATGCATTTGGATTAGTGTAGTCTTCAAGTAGAACAAAGTCCTGTACGCCAGTGTGGTCACGTTTGTGTAGATGATCTTCCATTCTGTTAGGTTGGATGTCACTTAGTTTATGTCTTGCTTACACAAACATCTGCGTCTGGAATAAAATAAATGGTTAAATTCATAAATGCACAGTTAAGCATATAACCTATTAGTGATTTGATCTTCAAAGCTTTTTGAGAAAAATCCTGTCTACTGACCACCTCTGGATAAAGACCATGACAATTATGTAGAAAACCAGTGATTTTAAAACCAGCATTTGATACACATAGACAATCTGCAATCAAAAACATATTTTGAGTTCCCTTTATTTGTAAAAAAAGACATGTTTGACTATAATAACAAATTTTCAAATATTATTGTAATATTATCAGAAAATGAAAATGTTTGTCATTGGTGACAGATTTTTTTATAGTGTTTTAGTTTTCCCTTCAGCTCAAGTTGATTACATTAACATATGTTTGAAAGTTAATGAGGAAAAGAGACACTTTTATGAACATGTAGATATATGAATAAATATACAGCATCATTAAAGCTCAGCAGGCCTTCAGATTGGTAAACAAACTTTAAAACAAAATTAACCTCAGAAAAATTCACTAGTTTAATAAACATGCATATTAAATACGAAATTTTATACTTAAAAATATAACTTAATCGACAAATGACATATATTTTTATACAAATGATATGACTTACAAATGATGAAAGGTTTTTTCTATTTAAAATAAGACCAATAAAGTCTCAATATTTTTAAAAAAAAAAAATAAGCCAAAATCTGGTGCAAGGCTGCTTTAATAAAAAGCAACTGAATCTTATATATTCCAATTTTTTAAAATCATTAAAAAAGTTGTTGCTGTTTAATTTTATAGATAATTTATACAAAATCTGTTTGCCAAAGAACAGGTTCCCTGTATGAAACGTTCATCAACTAAAAAAACTATTGTGAAAAAAAAAATATACATAATTATTAATTAATTCATGTACGTGTCATATGGAATCTAATTATGTTATAAACATTTAAAAAAAAACTAATCTCAAATCACCCCAAAACACATCGCAATCATATTTACGTTTTTCTTTTCAATCACTCAATCTATATCTTTAAATAAATCCATATTCCAAAAATAACAAAACTTTATAATTATTTCCCCCTTCCAATTAATTATATACCATGCACTGTTATAATTATACTAATTTCCTTGAATTCCACATACAATATATATATCACTTTCTACAATATGACTCATCATTAAAGTACAAATTGAATGAAGTAGCTTTTCCCTACAAAAATCAGATAATTTCCTTAAAGCAATATAAAAACTTTAAGGCATATCAACAAAAACTAATTCACAATGTTTTCCTTCTTGGTAAAACACTGCACTGATAATTTAAGAAATGAAATGAATAAACGGAAACTCTCTCTCTCTTTGTTTGTGTCCAACAATTATTTTCTATTTACATTTCTACCCATATACCTTTATAGCTTTACCCAACATATCAAACAAGATCCTGATAAATACAAATTTAATGGATCATAAATCCTATAGTTTCACCTGTATTCATTTTATTAGGCCATTTGTAAGCCAAAATTTGTGGATTTTCACTTTATGAATTTACTCTAATTTAGTGGACATTCTGTCTCTTACAGACATGACTTTGTATGCTGATAATTGTAATGATCTATTTAGTATTGAACCCAGAAATCCAGCTTATATAAAAGTGGCATGCCTCCAGGTTAGTTCAATAAATAAATCTACTATAAATCAAACTTACAAAAAATAAATTTATAGTTTTATAGATACAATATACATATACTCATTTACAATCCATGTGAAACTTTGAATGTATTATTTTTACAAAGTTATCAACAATTTCTGTGGATAGATTTAGATAGTAACCCTGGACTGAATCAAAATCACTTACTTTTTACACTGGGTATCATTTTTAGTTATTATAACAATTTTAAAAATTTCATAAAAGTTACCTCAATTCTTGAGGCATGCTGCTTTAACATCTTATTTTTTTATTACAATCTTCTTTTTAGAAACTTAAATATATTGATTAATCATTTGAGCCGTGTCACAACAAAACCAACATAGTTGGTTTGCTACAAGCATGGATCAAGACCAGCCTGCGCATCCGCGCAGTCTGATCAGGATCCATGCTGTTCACTGTCAGTTTCTCCACTTGTAATAGAGTTGGCAAGCGAACAGCATGGATCCTGATCAGATTGCACGGACGCGCAGGCTGATCTGGATCCATGCTGGTCGCAAACCCATTATGTTGGTTTTGTCGTGACACGGCTCATTTCTTATTTTATATTACACGGGACCAGGCTGTATACTGATGGCAGCAGAATTTTTGATACAATTTTACTTGTACGTACTTGCTGTGGGACAACCTGTGCAATACTGACAATTGATTTTGCCGCCCCTGCAAAACGAGCAGGCAGCATGGATATTGTCTGCTGTGGTGGCATGGATAGGATCACTTGCCACCAACATGCTTACTTAAGTGTTTAAGACTATTAAAATCTAAATAAGTTAATCATAATAATATGATTGACTGTAGATGACATAATTTTTCAATCTAAATAGAAATAAAATTTGCAAATTAAATCTAATTCAATTATATAAATCAATAAACCCTATTCTTCAATTTCATCGCGAAAGATTAAACCGGCACTTTGATGAAAATTTACCTTTTTGGTCGACAATTATCCAAATATTTAAATCTAACAACCTTTAAGAACTTGTTACTAAGCAATGAAGTACTCCTCCACTTAAGAATAAAAGATAATATGTTTAGGTCAACTTATCAAATAATTTATAAAAATAAAATATTAGGTTCTTGTGACTTATAGCGAAACAGAGTAAATTTTGGAAACATCTTAATGATCTGCGATCACTGATTTTGAATCACTTGCTTCGCAAATGTAGGTTTGATTCCTGCTGAAGCGTTTAAGCTCGAAGGATTAAATTCATAACATAATTCTCACGAATTGCCAAGCCATAGAACACATACATGCATATCAATGTATCACTAATTCTGCTTAAATGTCCCTAACACCCAGGCAACAAAAAAATATGGGTTCGTGAAAATTTACCTTTTTTGTGACATTCGACCATACCTCAGTGGAGAATACCTTAAATATTTCAGATTCATACTGAACTGTGCTAAATGTCAATTTATCATCTGAATTTTTTTTTTCCATGGCCTAAACTGTCAACACTAGCTAGGTTATATCATAGTTTATACTGAACTGTACTTTGTTGAACTTTTACATTTTAGAGACTTTGGATTTTTTCATGTGAGGAAGCTATCCAGCTAACTTATGGCACATTGGTGGTTCTACTCTGAGGTGCCCGTTTGTGCCTGAAATAATGCACTGAAGGGCACCTGAGGTCTTCCTCCACCTGTAATGCTGGAACATCGCCATATGACCTATACAGTGTCGGTGCAACGTAAAACCAAAACAATTAAACAAACAGAAGTTATATTTTATAATCATACTGATCTGTTACCTTAGTTGAACTTTAATAATGACTTTATCATGACAGATACTTTATGTTATCACAATTTTACCTTACGTTTTACCTTCAAGTCATACTAAACTGTACTTTGTGAAACATTACAAATTAAAATGTTTAATGTGGAGTGATACTTTAAAATTTTGATTCCAGATTTATCATTAATATTTGCTTTGTAAAACATTCATAAAAAGTGTGATTCTGCAATTTAACCCTAATCTGCAGTGCTGTACTATTCTTCTCACATAACACAAATATGTACAAAATATCAACATGGAGCAAATTTTTCTTAAATGCCACAGGTTTGTCAATCAAATGCATAGATTTTACATCAGTCACAAATGGCAAATGCTGCTCAGGCTTTTCATAGATTCAAGGTGCAGATTACCAAGGTTTAAAGCATGGACGTCAGACAAGTACTCAAAGGATCGCTAGTTGTGAGGGTTCAAACCCCTATCAGGGTCAAGCCCTTGTTTCTTTGAGCAAGAAACTTAAGACTTTTTTCTCAAGTACTGATTGGTTAGAGGAACGGATTAGAGTTTCTGTAAACTTATAGTTTTCTAAACGATCAAATACCCTGAATAAATATGTATAAACTTTAACATAAAAACTAGAAAACATTCTAAAACGAGAACGTATATGATGACAAAAATGCGATAACATTATACTTTTTGTGGTTTCATGTATTTTGTCTTCTTACTTTCTAGTTTACATCTTTGCCAAAACCTATAACTTCTTCGATTTAGTGATTGTGTGTTTCAGGCTGCATGTACTATTGCATGTATAGACCCGTAATAGATTTTATTCTGTAAATTCACTCAAAGAACTCTTTAATACAATTCCATCAAAAAACATAATTGATTATTTGAAAGAGATAAACTTGTATTCTAGGATCTATTATATTTATTGGCTCATTTATATTGTCATTTACAAAGTTTTACATAACATTTTAAGCCTATTATAGCATTCAGCACGATATGGCCAGTTATGTGTTGACGTGCCGTAAAAATCCAAACAAACAAACAAAATATTCATTCATAGGTGATGGCCCTAATGGAACACCATATTCCAAAGAGAGATATATCTTTGATGTCAGAATCTGAAGTCTTTCATGCATTGTTATAACGAAACATTGGTCTTGTAGTTGAGTTCATTTGCCAATACAAATCTTGAAACAATGATTAACTACATAATTGCACTTAAAAAGAAAGAAAACTTAAAAATTTTATATTGCTTACTCATTGTCATCATACGCCCTTCAATATTTCTACAATGACTATTTGTCAAACTGCATCAAAGTATCATTGTACAAAAGTAAAAAAACCCTTAATTGTTTTAATTGTTGAGTGAAACAGACCTTCAATAGCATTATTGAAGAATGAAACTACATGTAAAAGGGACTCCACTGAGGTTTTTTGACATCATGGGACTGGACATTATTTTTTCGAGATTAATGCTCCATTTGATCAGCTGATGTATGTAAGAAATTCTATTTAATATATATTTTTTGGGGGATTTTTCACCTCAGTGGAGTTCCTTTAAATGTACAAATCTAAGTAGCTCAAAGCTGAAAATATTTAAAAGCCAATTATGCCCTGAAATGCTTTTATACTATTATTAATTGTTGGTGTCCTGTTAAAATGTCCAAAAAGTTCCTCACTGACCAATTTAATTCTTGAAACATCTTCTAACTCTGCTGCCTTTTAGCTTTCAGTACAGGTATAGTGATGTAGTATTTTGTATGGAAATCGAAATACTTCTTTCATCAGGTGATAAGCATCTAACATGCTCTAAAACCTTTAATTTCAAAGAAGAAAACAAAGTGAACCTTTATAACCAGCCTTAGTGGTTGCTTAGTGGTTGAGGATATCCTCTTGATGCCTCTCAATGCTTTATTTCAGGGCTAGCATGTAATTGTTGTTATTCGGAACTTCGGAAATTGTGAGTTTTTCAAAGCTAAACCCCTAGTACAAACAAATTTTTACTGTAAAAGCTTGACAGTTCACAATAGATGAGTCAACCTTATGCTTTACAAAGCTGTAACTGTAAAAGTTTGTTTATAACCCCCCACCCCCCACTCGATCAGCTGGGAAAACCCAAAATATTCTGATTCAGGGGTAAGTCTTTTACGCCTCACCACCTACACGTAACTCCAACTTACAGTCACATTTCAGCTCATTAGGGACAATACATTTTTAAAGGTCTTACAGTCTGATATATTTTGAATTTTGCACTTCTCAGTTGTACTGTGGAGATGTTGTGCATTTCTTGTGGAGAAATGTGCAGATAATCAATATTATGAAATCCAGAAACTGTTAACTTAACACAGGTTTCTGTCATTTTATCATCATACAGTACAGGAAGATGTTTTGAAATAAAGTTTTTAGTAGGTATATATAGTCAATGCATAGTTTTAAGTCTGTATATAATAATAAAACCAAAATAAAGTTTTTTAAATTGGTATAAATTATAACCAAAATAAAGTTATAAGTTGGAATATATAACCAAGATAATGTTCTAACCAAAATAAGGTTGTAAGTTGGTATATATAACCAAAAAAGGTTTAAGTTGGTATATATCACCAAAGTAAAGTTTTAAGTTGGTAATATAACCAAAATAATGCTTTAAGTTGATATATGACCAAAATAAAGTTATAAGTTGATAATATTAAGCTGGCATATATAACCAAAATAATGTTTTAATTTCATATATATAACCCAAATAAAAAAAATGTTTTAAAATTAATGAAAAGGAGAAAAAAAACCAAAAAACTAGCATTAAATTTGTGTGGTCTTTCTGTAAGGTGAGAGATAAAAGAAGAACATGCTGCCTACTTTCATTCCCTTTT